GATAGTCCTTTAATTTTACCCCTAAGCGTTAACCTAGAGTATTATAAGCGCTTTAGGCCCTAGATGCCTACTCTAAAGGTACTAAAGGTAGGCGTTATTACTATAGTCTACTAGTGTATTTATTAATAAGTAAAACAAGGTTATAAACACTTATATATTTACTAGTAAGGTAAGGCTATAAGAATAAGGCTATATAATAGCCTAAGGCAAAAAGAGAGGTTTATATTTAAGAAGACAAGGTTACCCTTATATACTAGCTTCTTTATAGTTATATTCTTTTTAGGTGTTCTAAAGTAAAAAGTATAGTTATATCCCTAATACTATACTTTTGCCTTCCTAATTAGACCTTCTAAGGTAATATTAATATAAAATCTAGGAATAAAGGCTATATTTTTAGCCTAAGATCCTCTATGCCTAGCCCTCTTCGCTATTAAGGAGGTTCTTTATAATATATATACTATATCCTCTATAAGGTAAATATTATACCTAATTTAATATAATAATTATCTATATTTATTTTATAGAGCTAGGCTTAAGGAGTAACTTATTATTTATAATATAAAGACCTCTATAGTTATTAAGAATAGTGCTTTTACTAAGAGTATATAGGCTAATAAGTAAGGTTAAGAATACACTAAGAGTTAGAGGAAGTATAGCTAGGGTCTTACTAAATAAGCAAAGGTTAATAGTAACTATAATAAGGGTGCCTTATAGTAAAAGGGGTTAAATCCCCTTTTTTTACTTCTTTTATACTTTACCCCTAAGGTTTAACTACTTTAGCTTTAAAAGCTCTATAATAATAGCCTTTACTACTTACTTACTTAGGTTACCTAAATAATCCTTAACTTACTAGAGAGTATATACTTAATATACCTATAGTTAATAGGTTTCTATAGGTAGTTAGACCTCTTATAGAGGTATTTAAAGTACTACCTTTTATCTTATAGTTTACTTTTCTTATAAAGGTTATATATACCTTTGTTACTTTATAGGATTTTATAGGTATTATTTATAGTAAATTACTTAGTAACTTACTATATTCTCTTAGGGTTATTTACTGTCCCTAGTTATTTAGTCTTTATAAGGTTATTTAGCTTACTGCTTACCTAGGAGGAAGTAATTTACTACTTAATAGTGCATAAGAAGGTCTTAATTAGGAGAGTACCTTAGATCTTAGGGATACTATACACTTTAGCCTTTATTAAGGTAGTACACTATTCTCTAAGCTAAGTAGATAGGTTATTTATTAATAAGGTATATATAAGAATCTTATTATAATTATTATAGGCTATATTACTTACTATATTATAAAAAGAGTATATTATTATTTAATCTCTAAAATAGTTATATAAAAGGTAAAGTTAATATTATTATTTAGTAATTATAGCTATATACCCTCTATAATCTCTTTATAACTATAGTATTAACCTAGCTTAATAATAGGTTATTTACTTTTACTATTTATATATCCTTAGCTTAGTAAAGGATAAATTACTTATAGTAATAATCTATTCTTACTTTATTACTTTATTATTAATAGTTAGTGCTACTAGCTAAATAGGCTTTAGCCTTACTACTTACTTACTAGCTAACTAAGAGGTTATTCTAGCTTATAAGGTTAGCTTTATATTACCTTTAGCGCTTAGTGTTTTACTTTATAATATATTTAGCTAGCGTAGGTGCTCCTAGGTGCTTAGGGAGCTTCTTTTGCTATCTAGATTAATAAATTACTAGACTTTACGTTAGGTAGTATAGAAGTAAAGCTTTATATACTAAGGAACTAATCTTTATGTATAGTTAAAAGGCTATAAAGGCAGGTGTTAGTTAGTAGACTTACTATTACTTCTAAAGGTATTATAGGCGTAAGATAAAGTTAAAAAAGAGTATTAGTTTTAAGAAAGGTATTTCTAAGCGTATACTACTTTATAATAGTAGGGGTTATTATTACTTATAAATTAAGTTAGAGCTAGGCTTATAACTATTATTAAGTAGTATGTTTAAGGGGTAATTTATATAGTTAAAAGTGGCTTATTTCTTTTATCTATAGTGCTATAATCTATGTTCCTTAAATATTGCCTTGCTTAGTGGATTCTGCTGCAAGTATTTATATTCAGGAACAAGGGTTAGATTAATAAGCGATGTTGTTCTAGAAAGCGGTGTTAGTCAGTAATATCCTATATAACACTTAATTATATACTTTACTTATTAAGTATATAAGCCTATATATAAATATATAAAGTTATATAAAGAAATATACTTTAAGAAGAAGCTTATAAAAAGTAATATATAAAGATATAGTAGAACTAGTATAAGTAATAGTAGCTTTATAAGAGTTAGTAGTGCCTTATATAGGAGGTTATAGGATTATATATATATATATAAAAGCCTATAAAGTAATATAGGCTAGCTTAGATAGGTATACTAGCTAATTACCTTTACTAAGGTCCTTAAGAAGGTTTATACTTTTAATTAACTTTAAGATACTTAGAGATATTATAACTAGGCTTACTTATACTTATATTTATTTATAGAGGCTTATATAAAAGTTCTTATAAATATAAGGGAATTATTATATTTATAAATATAATACTAAATATATATAAAGTTATACTAAATATTATAAAAGTTAACTAAATTCTAAAAAAAAGTAAAAAGTAAAAGTAAAGTTATATAAAAAAATATAATTAAAGTAATATAACTAAAAGAAAACTAGTAAAAAGCTACTAATTATTACTAATTAATATATACTATAGTAAAAAGATAAAAAAATATATTATTTTACTTATAATAACTTAAAGATTCTATATCTTATATTAAAATAATATAAATTAGTAAAAGTTATATAGTATTATAAGTTAAAGTTAAAAGTAACTTATAAAAGTTATAAAAGTATAAAGAAAAAAAAAGAAGAATTAGAAAGTTACTAGTAGTTAAAAGAGATTAATAGAAGGGTAGTAGATATATAGACCTTATTTAACTAATTAGAGGATATAGATTTATTTTATTTACAGAAGTGTATATATCTAATTAGTATTTTACGCGTAGTGGCAGGAGGGGTAGGTGTAGCCCCTTCCCTGTTTTGACGGAGTAAGCCCTGCAGGCTGCCGTAGTGCGGCGTTGCTCTGTAGTCGCGGCCCGCGCAGGCCGCTGCTGGACACGTCCCATACCAATAGAGGTAGATCGTAGTACGCGGTAGCAAGCATAGTGGCGCCCTGGTCGACTGCAGCAGTTTTAGGAACGTAACGGCAGCCATCGGGGCCAAATTCCAATAGTAAGAGCTGGCCCAAGACAGCAACTGTCTGCCGCGAGGTCTTCCAGTAGGTAGCCCTACACGTGTCCATCTTTGAAATGGGCCAAAAGCGCGGTATCTCCAGAGTCAAAGGTCATGTCAACCATCGGGGCAGTTGGCAGGGCGGCAAAGGTCCAGCGCAAACCCAGAGATCAATTTGCTATGCCCCGGTAGTCCGCAGACTGGCCCGAGCAAGCAAATGCCCAAAATTGCTAAAGCGCGTTAACGCTTTCTTGGTGATTAACTTAAGTATCATTACTGAAATACTTACTCAAACATACTTGCTCTTAACCCTAGCTGCTTGTAGGTTGTGTCAAAACGGGAAACGGAGACTATGAGCTCGCTAGGCTACTGGTGTTCTCTATCAAAATCGACCTGCTGCCGCCCTAGAATTAGGGCCTGATGGGCAAAACCGATATCAGGCCGATAACGTCTGTACCCTAAGAGGGAATTACATAGGGTTATGGTTAAGAAGAGTTGAATGCAAGGCGAAAGGTTAATTTTATGAATATACCATCTAGGTCCTTGGATATGTAAATCTCTCACCGCCTACCCTTTTGTAGCATTAAAATAAGGTTTATTACAGGAAGTAGGATATTAGTTCTTTTCTAAACTTCAACCTAAGTCTAGAGATCGATAATGTTTATATGAGGAAAGCGGGGTATTTGGCGGAATTAACGCAAAAAAAGTCACTGCCTGGGGTAGTACGTGGCCTACTCTGATATCATTAGAGTTCTGCAATGTAGAACTGAAATCATGACGAGGAATACTTACTTTTACTATAGGGTATTTGATACAGATAAGTGCCACGCTGTAAGAGGCCTACTAAGCACCATGTACTCATGTAGATCTAATTCATCTTCAGTAGAATGCTGGTTATTAGAGTATATTTGTACAAAGCCTTATATCAAAGAGTGTCCTAGAGGTGTCGAAAGGCTGTATTCTTCCTTGGCTTAGTCAGCGTTCATAGACCCACCTCCAACTAAGCCTCCAATGGTTCCATCCATGCGCAACCTAGTGAGTGATCAGACAAGCTGATATTGTCCCCCCCCCCTGTCAACCCGAGAGTACCATGCGCACTAGTCTATGGAAAGTCCAGTAGACAGTGGATTCAGTGATAACACAACTATCTTTAGAGGCAAAAGGGATAGTCTTGGCCCATCCCAACCCAGAGCGCAGCGTAGGAAGCAAGGTGGGTTAGTACTATTCTAACCCTCCCTGGCGGAGCCGTTTTGGAATTGAAAAAAATCTAAGAAAACTGGATTTGAACTGGATTTGAACCTGCAGCCTTTAGGATATGACTGCAGCCTTTAGGATATGAGGTTTATCGCTGTTATCGTGCACGGTACTCTCGGGTTGACAGGGGGGGACAATATCAGCTTGTCTGTAGACTCCAACGTAGTGTTCGGCGTAAATCTCGAATTAAATGTGGATAGCAACTGACTCGGCCCACCATCAAAGAAGGCTAGGTTGGCAGATTTATCGGCCTTGCCGATATTTTCAAGACCGATGTTTTCAGACTTGGCAATAGTTAGTAAATACAGATAAAAGGCTGCCCGAGTATCCGTATTCAAACATGCATGCATCCATTGTTTGTCACATTCGCACCAAAACTCACAAAACTATTGAAATCTCCCTATTTCCTGGCACCTAGCAGACATTGCCACTACATTGCCACTAAATTGCGATCTCGACGAGTCCTCAAGTCAAAATGCAACTACCTACGATTACCGCCGCTAGCTCACTGTTGCTTGTTCCCCTCATTGTTAAGGGTGCGCTTGCTTGTAGTGCGTACACATACTGTCACTGCTACGACTCCAATGGCACTGTCAACGTCAACGCAACAGGGACAGTCTGCAATCGCTACAATTATAAAGATTCAACAGCAGTAATGGTCTCTGACGAGTGCCAGTATACTGGCAAAGAGAGAAGATGGGTGGGTAAACTCTGGGTATGGTATGGCTTCAGCAATTGCGACTTCCGCGAACTGTGTGCTGAAGCCGGTGCGACTGGGGACGACTCGAGTTGCAGAGAGAAGCCAGGTGGCGCCCAAGGATTTGCCCCCCACAGCTAAGCGAACACTGCCTATCGCGATACTTTTCGATGTCTCCCAATGCGAGGACCTTTTGTTGGAAGGAGGGAGGGGTTACTGGCGTAATTATGTATATTCGTTTAACAGTTCTTTTTGTGGAGTTTGCACGACACCGTCCACTCCGGCCACAAATGGGTACGAGAAACCCGTTTCTTCTATTACTCTGGGATTATTATCTAAGCCATGAATCGACCTTCCACCTCCCGATAACTTCTACCCATCCCCGTCCCGAGGCTTATTGTTTCTCTTCTCGTCGATTTCCGTCGCGTCGTCATCCTACTCAGGTTTGTTCCCTTCTTCCATTCTGGCCACTGATACACCATCATCTCTCAGGGACCACGAGAATATCGTCCACATTGACAACCTGTCCCGTGGCGATGGATCTGTTAGCAGCAATGCCCGTCAGAATCGAAGCCGCGCCGTCAATGTGACTGGCCGCGCGCATGTACTCGTCCGACACCGGCTCCCCAAACAGGTCCCTCAACAGCACGAGATCGCCCCCGCCGTGAGCACCCTTGGCCTCGCCCAGGTCGATCTCCTGCGGCGGGCCGAACAGAGGCCGTAGGAGCATGGTCCTCTTCTCAATGGCCCCTTCCAGCGCCTGGCTGCCCCCCGAGTTGACGTAGCTCTTCTCGACGACCTCGACCTCAAGCCGGCCCCCGGTGCCGTTGAAGTTGACGCGGAAACCCTCCCACGGCGCGTACGCCGTCAGCGAGTACGTCATGACGGCGCCGTTGCGGTACCGGATGAGCAGGTTCATCGTGTCCTCGATGCTGATGCCGTCGCCGAACACGCTCTGGTCGCGGTGGTAGCCGTCCTCGTGCTCCGCGTCCAGGTACATGGCCTTGAGCTGCGGGTTCGCCTCGAGGTGCAGCGCGAACGGGTCGTCCCTGGCCGCCTCGCTCCCGTGGGCGCGCGTGTAGAACCTGCTCACCCCCCTCCCTTCGGCGTTCTCACGCCCGTAGAACTTGAGGTCGCCTTGCGCGTACACCGTCCGCGGCCGCGTCTGCAGCCAAAAGTTGACGAGGTCGAAGTGGTGCGTGGACTTGTGCACGAGAAGGCCGCCCGAGTTGCGCTTGTCGCGGTGCCACCGGCGGAAATAGTCGGCGCCGTGGTTCTCGTTGAGCATCCACTCAAAGTGCACGCTCGTCACGGTGCCGATGGCCCCCGACCGGATCACCTCGAATATCTTTGTGTTGTGCGGCGCGTACCGGTAGTTGAACGTCACCCGCACCTTTTGCCCCGTCCGCTCAACCGCCGAGAAGATGTCCCGGCACCGCGGCGCGTCGATGGTCATGGGCTTCTCCGTCACGACGTTGCAGCCCAGCTCCATGGCGCGCACGATGTAGATGTTATGCGTCCGGTCCACCGTCGTGACGATAACCTCGTCCGGCTTCGTGTCCCTGATCATCCGGTCAAAGTCGGCGGCAAGGAAGGTCGGGACTTCCCCGTGGCCGAGCTCTTTGAGTTTCGAGTTGGCATAGTTCATGCGCGTCTGGTTGATGTCGCAAAGCCCGACGATGACCGACGTGTTGCTGTAGTCCTGCGCGATGGCCGTGTAGAAGAAGCTTGAGCGGCCACCGGTGCCGACGATGGCGTAGCGCTTCTTCTGTGATATGTCGCCCATTGTATCGCGGTTGGCCGTCTACGATGTGTCTCTCGGTGCTGGTGTTGAGGTCTGGGCGAGCGCGACGCGTTCAGCCTACGTGACCCGGAGTTTTGGTATAGCCGGCCGTGAGCAATACCAAGTCGAGGTCCAGTTCTCTCGAATAGAATGGGGCACGGCAAGGTTTATTGATAGAATGCCCTTTCGCACCACCTCATGACTTCGGCAAGCTTCATTTTCGCCGCGGCTTTCTCATACACATGGCAACCCCGCTACAATCCTTGCTCGGGCTGGGTTACCCCAGAACCCGAGGTTAGTTGGAAGAACAGCCTGCCGGTGGCACGATGGCTTGAAGCCTCCAGCTTAGAATCCTTCTCTCCACATCACTCATCCCCCCTAATGCGGGGAATTCGATTCCAAAAGAGGGGGGAGGATTGAGGGGGTCCACGAAAAGCCGGGGACGTCCCGGGCTGCTGATGGAGTGAGTCTGGGGAAGACGTTGCAACGTCATTTGCTCAGACACAACCCCCCAGTTTGGCTCCTCGACTTGGCACACGACGCCACTGACTCGCCGACACGCGGGCATGCTCTTGGGAGGTTCAAAAGGCCTCGGGAAGATCCCCGCGCTTGGCATAGTAGAGACTATGGTAGAGAGTATGTGGGCCAACACAAGCCGCTTCGACGAGCATTGATTCGGTAGAAACCCTGCAAGTCCCGGCCCTGCACCCAGCCTGGAGTTTTTCCTCCAATGACGCGGGTTGGCAGGAGACCAGGTACATCTTATCATCTCTTGGTTTTCGTTGAGCAACCGGCGCAAACCGCGTGATGTTTAAGCCAAGGCTGCCAGCATGTTTCCCGGGTGTTAAGAAGTAAACCACGCCACGCGATGGCGATGTGACGTCTGGGCCAGGTGTTGCTATTGATCAATGGTCAGCGTTAGGCTCCATTTTTTCCCTTCTTTTGTCTGTCCCCCTCTCCAGCTGAGATGGCCTCGGATATAGGGGTGGAAACAGGGGCCTCTCGTTTTTGAGTGATAAGAGAAACCGGTCCCGATGTCCTTTGCGAGTGGTCTGTTCTTTTGCTCCTACCCTCTTCTTGTCAGCTAGCTGCAATTTCATCTGCTGGAGACAGATTTTCTGCTTGTGATCCATACTAAAATCTCGGACGGGCGACTGGAATCCCAAGCATCGACAGTATCGACTCCAAGGATCGTTCCGGACGGCATCTGTCATCATGGCCTCCTCGACCCCGGCGGCAAAGCAAGCCGGCGGTCTTAACTCCGACACAATCGAATCCGTGCCCACGACCCAACCAGCACCTGCTGGCGCATTGCAAGAGAAGGCGGCTCAGTTCCTGGCAGCTCACGGAGGCGGCGATACTTCGTTCACCTATGAAGAGGAGAAGGCTGTCTTGAAGAGAATCAACCTCCGGGTTCTGCCCCTCATTCTTGGGGCGTACTTCTTCCAGCAGCTCGACAAGAGTACTCTGAGGTACACACAGCTCCTGTTTCTGTCCTCGTTCCTCAGTCCAGGAATCAACTGACCGTTCCGCCACACTAGTTATGTCTCCGTCTTCGGGTTCCAGGAAGACGCAAACCTTCACGGCCGGCAGTACAGCTGGCTCGGCTCCATCCTGTACATCGCGCAACTCGTCTGGCAGCCCGCCGCCGCCTTCATCCTCGTTAAGCTGCCCAACGGAAAGGTCATCGCCGCCGCCATCTTCCTGTGGGGCTCCTCGCTGGCGATCATGACTTCCTGCACCAACTTCGGCGCCCTCCTCGGGCTTCGCTTCGTGCTGGGCACATTTGAAGCCATGATTGCGCCGTCGTGCCTCGCCGTGACGACCACGTGGTGGAGGCGGAGCGAGCAGACGCTGGTGACCAGCTCCTGGAACGCCATGAACGGCGTCACCTTCATCATCGGCAGCCTCTTCACATACGGTCTCGGTCATATCGAGAGCGACAAGCTCTACAAGTACCAAATCATCTTTCTGTAAGTAGTGCGCGGGTCATGGGAGGCCTTTGCTGGTCCAGGCTAGTGATACTGATGCCATCGCTAGGTTCTGCGGGCTGCTCACGGTGTCGTACTCATTCGTCGTTCTTGTGTTGATGCCTGACTCGCCCATGTCAGCCAAGTATCTGACAGAGAGGGAGAAGGTCATCGCTGTCGAGCGGCTCCGGGCCAACCAGATGGGCATCCAGTCCGGGGTCTGGCGTTGGGATCACGTCTGGGAGACATTCACCGACCTGAAGACGTGGTGTTGGTTCGTTCTAGTCGTTGCCATTTCGTAGGTACTGACCATGCCAACGGTTTATCATGATACTGATGTGTTATGTTTAGCATTGCTAGCGGCGGCATCTCGACCTTTGGTAACTTGATAGTCAAGTCTTTCGGCTACAGCAGCTTTCAGACCATTCTATTCAACATACCCTTCGGCGTCATTCAGATCATCGCCATCATGGGCAGCGGCTGGATTGCCACGCGGACTCAGCGGAAGGGTCTCGTCATTGCTGGCATCGCTATCATTCCCGCCATCGGCACGATCCTCATGCTCACGGTGCCACGTCAGCATAAGGGCGTTTTGCTCTTCGGATACTACCTCGTAAGGAGTCTTCACTTTCGGCCGTTACCTATATTGTGCTGACATTGGTTTCTATCAGGTTTCTGCTCTTGCGGCCATCACCCCTCTCATTTATATATGGCAAGCGCAAAACACTGCTGGCGACACCAAGAAGAAAACCACCTCTGCCGTTGTCTTCATTGGCATGTGCACTGGCAACGTCATTGGCCCACTTCTCTACTCCGTCGATGATGCTCCGGTGTATCGTCCCGGCTTGATTTCTAATCTAGTCATGTTCATTCTCGTCATCTTCATGGGAGCGTAAGTCGTCTTTCCACTTAATTTTTATATGCATACCATTGTACTGATAAGCCTCACCTGTCTAGACTTCTTCCGCTTTATCTCAAATATCTTAATGTTCAGCATTCCAAACGCCGCGAGGCCCTCGGGAAGAGTACCAACATTGTAGACGAGTCGATGATGCGCAACAAGGGCGAAAAGGACAGCAAGGAGGTGGAGTTGGAAGAGGATCCCCAGAGGCAGCAACGCAAAACTATCGAGGAAGACCATGGTCTACAGGATATGACCGACCTCAAGAATGAGGACTTCATCTTTGTTTACTAGCAATTGTTCTTCTTCGTACTGGAATGCCATGGAGGATGATTAGCCATTGTTGGTATATAGTCAAAGTCCAACCCATATTGGCCATGTGCCACGTTATCTTCATCTCTTTTTGGACACTAGACCTCGTCGTAACCCCAATTTGCAGATGACTGCCGCCTCCTGCAGTTCACCAGAATAACCATAACACCATCACAGCTCTACGGCGGTATCTAATACGTCATAATGCTTCTGCGTCAATAGTGTTAACAATCGCCACACGCCTGCCACGAGTGACTGCGATATGTCCTCTCCTTACCAGGCCGTGACATGCTGCCGAACCAACGTTTGTCGGTCTGTTCAAGGCCAAGGTCTCAAAGTAGTAATCGGACGCCTGTCATGAAGATTTGAGATTCAAGTAGATGCAGACAGGGCCAACCCTGACCTCGGGGGGGCAAATTCTGTAATCTCTTCGCATTTCCATTTCGATCATCAAGGGGAACACTGATAGCGATTTCGCAAGGTCTTCAACTTCCTCGACTAGACTTTCTTGCCATATTGCGAGTAAATGACGACGATGTACTTTTATTATTGAAAATGGGAACCTTGGTATCCAATAGTATTCTGGCTGAATTGAGGAGGCAGAGGATTATGTTATGGATTAGAAGGCCTCGAAGTGTTTTACAATGGTTGATCATTCTTTCCTCTTTGCTTCTATTACTCTTTAATCTGTTGTTTGGCTACATTTCCCAAATTATACCATTTAACCTACAGATTAACCAAGTCTGAAAAATTTGATGATCGATTTCTCCCAGTTACATTACTAGTTCATGCCGCCCATTATCCCCCCATTGAAAAGTATACCTTCGTTGCTTTCCAATAGTTTTCCTTTAGTCATAATGATAGTGTCATAAGACAGCGGCACGGCTGATAAGCCATCGTTAATTATATCGCTACTGAGCCTCTGACATCCATAGAGACTAAGCGGTTTGTAATCACCTCGCTAAAACGATCCAGTCATCACCTTCATCCTCAGCCTCCACAAGAACAGAGGGCTTTTCCAGGATTCCAGTAGGTTTCAATAGATATTCATCACTACAAGCCCAACCTCCAGTTATCGGGACAATGTCAGTATATACCCAGGCGCCAAATCAAGTCTGAATACTTACTTCGCCACAGATCAGGCCTGCCACCAGAGACACAGTCTTTCAAGTGGACGTTCCCAAAAGAGTTATATCGGTATCCAAAAGCGGTAATGGAGATGTCGTGTTTCCCAACTTCAATCTCCCCGAGGGCTAGGGTTCTCGGCTGCAGGGCGATATGTCCGCTCTTCTTTCCCCACTTGACTTTTACAACCGGCGTAGCGAAGTGCGGAACCGATAGCGTGACGTTCGATCGGGATTTTGTTGAAAAGCTGCAATGGTAAGTGACGTTCCCGGTATAGAACGGGTGTCCTTGCGCCACGATATCGCCCCAGCCTAGGCTCTGGCGTCGTTCGCAGAGAATTGGCAAATTGTTCTTCAGCTCAACGCTGAAGCTGCCAAGAAGGTAAATCCTTTCCAAATTCGCCAAGATGCCAAACGGCATACTGAGTTCAATGATGTTCTTCCCCCTCCTGATCGTCCTCTTTGGCAGCGGGACCGTTCTGATATCTTCGTCGGCCCACCAGGACGAGCTCCTCTCGTCAACAAGCAGTTTGCGACTGTTGACAGTGATTCTTGCATTCTCCGGGTTGTCCATGGCGAGAAACGAGGGCGTTTTGACGATGGTCTGTGACTCAAACTCGAAGCGTAGATCGACGTATACCCTCGGAACTCGTCCTGATGACGGCACACTACATGGCTGCTTCCACGCTGAGCCCTTCGGAGGAAGACGCAGGCGAGCTCGGATTTCGTCATCGATTTTCGAGACCTCTTGACGCGTGACATCCTCCCACGGGCCATCGTCGATCCTATATAGCGCATAGTCAAGCATCAAGACGTTTGGTTCGGAAAGAATGACCTCGTCCAGTTTCAGCTCCACAGTCTGCTGTTTGGGCGACATGGGGGCTACTTCTTCCGCGATTTCAACGAAGGACAGGTCCTCGGCCGGGACGGGGTAAAGTCTCAGCAACAAGCTTGCGCAGCCCTCAAACCGGTGCTCAAAGATTGTCCATCCGCTGCTGTATTTAGACCCTTGGTGGTGTGTTTCGCCTGTTAAGGTATCCAGAATCACAACATCCCAGTCGCCCTTGATGTTTACCAACGTATCGTAGTGGTTGTTTCGGTCCGTATTGCAGATGAAGAGAAACATTTCATCACCATCCTGGCGCATCTGATAGAGAAGAGTCTTCGCCGGCTGTCCTCCCTTCAGATCAACTTGCAGATCGCGACTCTCGGAGACGGCTGAGAAGATGTCGCTTTTACTCCAGGCAACCCTGGTGCTTGGTTTGATGTTCATATCGACATCAGGCGGTGTGACTTGGGCATCAAGTAGCACTGGTCCTTCACCAGCGATGATGACCTTGCCCCCTGTTGCTGCAAACTTCTTGACAACATCGAGGGTAGATGACCTAATAGTCCGAAGATTCGGTAAGATGATGAGGTCGTATTCGCAGTGGCCTACCTTAAGAGGCGCTGAGATGTCTTCGCCAATCTGGCCCGGCAAAAGACTCTCGGCGATGAAGTCAAAGTCCACCAATCCGTGAAGCAGCCAATCGGTGAGCTCCGCAAACTCCTTTTCGCGACGAAGGGTCTCGCCATCACAGCTGTTATTCGGACTAGAGCACAGCCAGAAGCTTTCGATGGGGTGGACCACACCGACACGCGTTATGGCTTTTCCGCGAGTCAACGCCACCCCAACACGGGCAAAGTGGTCTTCGATGTAGCTGTACTCCTTGTAACATGGGCTTCGATAGCTGACACTCGCTGGGTAGCCACGCTTTCTCTCGCCCGCCATACTGTCCCAGCTGAGGTGCGGGACACGAAACGTGATGCCTAGAGCAGCCTGCCAGTCGCCACATTGTTTGTGGCCTTCGAAGGTGAAGTACGAGTGTGCGTGTCCGTAAATCTCGCTTATAGCGCCGCGGATACCATTTTGACGGGCCGCACTAGTACATTGCTTGGCTATATTATATTCAACACAGTCGTTGAGGAGAGACATGCTGGGCGATGTCTGGTTTCGATAATATCTCATTGTTTCTCCATGAGCGGTGGTCTGAGAGTACAGATTTGGCTCTTCCATCATGTTTCCGTTGAGCATGATCTTGTTCCTCCCACACCAGCTTACGAGGAGGTCCGGAGAGGACATGACGAACTTTTCACTGACATGGTCGTAGAAACGGTATCGAGCCAGGCTGGGCGTATCTCCCGGAAGGTCCCAAAATAGTTCCGGGATACTGCTGATGAGATCGGCATCATTGCCGTAGGTCTCCCGGAACGTATCGGGAAGATCTGCAGTCCACGGCAGAAAAACGTCTTCGACGCCATCCGGACTCGAGAGCTGAGTCTTGATCGTGACTCGAGGTTCATCAGTGGAAATGCAAGGCGCCGTCGTTCCGAACTTGTCGCCTGTCATTTTCTCATAGATCTTATGAGTGCTTTCCAGAAATCGCGTCATGGCCTTGGTGCTCATTGTGTCGATGCGGGTCTGCCCCTCGATCCCAGATGACGGAGCGTTGGTCCCAACGTATGCATACCACACTCGTCCGCCGGGCTCCGCGTCTTCGTCTTCTTGCAGCCTCCTGCTAGACTGCAGGCGGCCATTCTCATCGAGGGTGATAGAGAATCGAGCTAGCAGATAACCCAGTTCACTTCGAGGTGCTTGTGCAGAGCTGGGTGCGCAATGACTGTTATTCGTATGAGTAGAAAGACAAACATATTGTTCATGGTCACCTACACTCCCAATTCAACACTACCACGCGGGTGCGGCGTGAGCAAAATGTGTTTGGCCTTGCGCTCGAGATGCTGCTTCACAGGCCTTTTGCAAGCAACTCCCGAGGGCCACCGGTCATCGTCATAGCTGATAAACGTCAGGATGGAATTGGTTATTCGGCAGGTGGGAATGGTCCACTGACAAGAAGGCGAGCATGCCCTTGCTCTGTGCATACTCCACGCAATCCTGGGCACGATGCACGAACTCCGTACCCATGGACCCGGTATCCAATCCGGTTCGAACATTCATGTGGAATCCGCCCATTCCCATATCCTTGAGATGATCGATTTGCCGGAAAAGCCTGTTCTTCTCCAGCTTCGGGTTCCATGACCACCGCGGGCATCCTCGGTACTCTGATGGTGGGTTTTTGAAGAGGTTTGGATTGAAGGGCTCGCTGGCCTTGCGGTACGTAAGCGGCCCCCCCGGGCTCTGTCCATTGCCTGCGCCTGGCTCTGCAGGCCATTCTTTCTCAACGGCAACAAAAGATGAGTCCATCGTGTTTGATGGGCATACCCTGGTGTAATGGCGAGGTTGCTTAAAGCAACTCATGCTGCAGAAGTTGCGGCAGGTAAAGAGGCTTTGTGGTCTCATGACTTGTTTCGACTTTAGCACATGTCCCCCCGCACGCAAAGACATACCAAAAGATATCGGCTGAAAACGGCGCGACAATGGGCGACTCTGATTGAACGCGAAACATGTTGCCAAACTTTTTGCGTATGAGCATTCTAGATGCAAAAAAACGGGTTGTTTCCGAGAACAATGAAAGGGTGCCCCCTGTTCCTCCATTGGGAGTTTGACGTTGTCAACATCGACAGCTGTGTACCCTTTCTCTTACATGTGCTCCAAGCTCCGAAGCCTTTTCTCCCCCCGGCGAGCACTCACGCCGCCGTAGCCCAGACACCTTTGTGCTTCTCAGCGGTATCTCGAAACTTCCTTGGCTGCTTCCCCGTCAGTGCGAGGACGACGCTATTCGTCCGGTTCTCGCTGCCATTCTTTATGGCTGTGTCCAAGCCAGCCATCATCTCCGCATAATCTCGGGGCATGCCCTGGCTAGCGAATCGCTCCACGAGCTCCAACGCCGAGAGGTTTTTATGTACGATCTTCCGGTCAAGAATATCGGAAAGAGTCACGGCAATCTGTATATCTTCCATCAGCATCTATTCGTAGAGTTCAACCGCGATGATGAAACTGACATCATCGTAGCTGAGCAACTCAGGCCCAAGGATGACGTATTCATCGTTCGGCGCATCCTCTTGGGTAAGGAGTTGGTATGCGACCGCTGCAATGTCCTCGGCCGCAACCCAAGGTATCTTCCCATCCCCCGTAGCGGAGTATATCATGCTCTCGTTCACAATCGACTTGCGATGATTATCTTGCGCGGCAAAATTCTCTGCGTGATTGTTAGCTACTACTTCATTGAGATGCGGGGGATGTAAGTACACACGCTGAAACCATGTCGGTCTTAATGCTGCCCATTCCACTTCACCCTTGTCGCCAAGCTCCTTCAGATACGCATGCGGCCGACCCATCGCGAAGCCGATGAGGTCTGGCTCGATAGAACTTGAGCTCAACAGGACGAATCTCTTGGTGCGTCCCTTGGTTCGCGCCTGGTCGATGAAAGACTGCATCGGCGGCAGCATGTCCAAGATGGGTGGGGCAACAAGGAAGGCGCTTGTCGCGCCGACGTCCAAAGCCGCCGCCCAGGTCGTCTCATCCTCCCAGTCGAAGGTAATGGGTTTGATGTTGCTAGCAACTGGTTCTGTGGATGTCCCGCTTCTGGAGGCTTGGTAAGTTGGAATCGAAGTCGACGCGAAGAGCTTCGCGATCTGACTGCCGACTTTGCCAGTCCCGCCGAGAATCAAGATTTTAGGTTGATTTTTTTCCATTGTGATTTCAGTTCACTCCAGTTTTCGATAATCTTGTGGCTAATAGAGAAGCGCAACAGAAAGAAATGTCGTTGTATGTAAACGGATAGCTTGTCTGCCGATTTGCAGGTGGAATTAACGGAGTTAAGGACCAGCAGTTGCTACGGACTTAGGGGTGAGATAGAACAAAAGGCAGGTAGGTAATCAAGTGCTTGGAAGCTCCTAGCAACTACCAGCAGAACTTGGTGATTTGCAGGCTTACACGATCGCGGTGGTCCTGGAAGCAGATGGAGATTTGAACGGGCAGATATGGCATCAAAGACAGCGATGAGGGGGGCATTGCATAGTTAATATTGTTTCCATCTCCAATTATGTAGACACCGACAAACTGTGCTTTGTCATGCCTAAATTTTTGTGCAATTATCACGTCATACACCATCGTTACATGTATGCCATCATATGATTTCGCTTTCTTTAACAAAACATGGCCTCTCCTAACGATGCGGCCATTTGCCGGCCGACATTATATTTGCACATAATGATTCCGCTTGTCTCCCACTCTCTGCAGTCTACCAACTCCAGTCTTATTCCGCCAAGCGGTGCAAGTCCAGACTCCCCCACCAGTCTTGCCCCCTTCCCTAGCATCATCGGCATAATCGCCGTCTCTACCGAGTCTAGTATTCCCGCATCGAGGCACGGCCCCACCAGCTGGCCGCCCATAAGCCAGATGTCACGACCGTCGCTCTTTTTGAGGTTCGCGATGTATCCGATGAAGTCCTCGGAGACAATTGTTACCCCTGGGTGGTGTTCTCTCTTGAGGGTTTTGCTGGCGACCACCAGGCTTTCCTTGGAATATTTCTGAAGTGGATTATGCTCGCCCATGCTGAGTATGCATTCATATGTTTTCCGGCCCATGACGAATGTGTCGCATTGTGCGTAAAGGGCATCGAAGAAAATTATATTCTCGTGCACCATCAAGCCTGCTTTTCCGTCTGAGGGAACGATGAAGCCATTAAGTGATATGGCCACATGATATCGGAGACGCCTAGGCCGTTCTTTCATGTTGTAATGGGACTCATGATCCAGGGCCGGACATCCACGATTCAGCCGATTGGTAGCAAAGAGTGGACTTTATAGGAATAAATCCATCATCTGAATTCAGTGTTTACTCAGGGCGAGCTGCCAACCCAAAAGGGAAACCCGACCCCGCTTGGCAATCGATGCTTTGCGGCGTGACAACGGACTTCCGAGCACTTTGCTCCCATAGTCCGTCGCCTTGCATTAAGGCTTATTTGCAGTGACAAGCCGACCGTTCCCAGCTGGCAGGTACCGTACTCAGAGGTGAGGGAAAACCGTAATTACTCGCAGGTTTTCTAGAAGTGCAATGGCAGGAACTTATAGGCTCAATTGCGCCAGCCAGTACATATTTACGGGTAATGAGCCATTTTGTTCAGTGCTTGGAACTGCCTGCAGAACTAGACCGGAGACGCGACATCACAAGCTCGATCATCAGCCCAGGCCCGTGGCTAGTGAATATTGTTTCTATAAACTAAAGCAACTGCCAACACAGATACCATGTCTGCTCAGCTGTTGTATTTCTCGGGATGCGACCATCGCAGGCTGAATGTATTTTTCGATAGGGGGAAAGGGAGTGCCTTTAGCAACGGATTCGGCACTGGCGAGAGCAGTGGCCCGAGACTAGAATTGGAGATAAATATACATTGAGGTATCTGGTATGCCTGCCCAAACTCGACCAGCTTCGTTAATGGCCAGAAACATTTACCATGAGCAGATGCCACCATTAGGTAACCTAAGACTTCTAAAATATGCTGGCATCTGCAAGCAAACCTGTGCCGGGGTGGTTCTCACTTATTGACATAGCTTTCGCAGTCACCGTTGGGTGCCCTTCCTTGACGCAGAATGCTCAAAAATAAAAGAATGCCAGGTGATTCAGAAGAGTCTGCCTGTTATCGCCAAGGGACGAACTTAGAACGGTCATATGGCTTGCACTAGCGAGCAAAAGCAACGAACATGCGGCTCTGATTTGGTGCGAGGCGAAACGGATGAGGGTTGTTGGCAGCCACTGGTTGTTGGCATTTCTCCACCACACCTACTGAGTGGCTTGATTAGCTCGTTTCGAGTTTGGTGATGGTTGGCTGTTGTGCCGTAGAGACCTCGCCTCGGGTAGGGCATGCCACATCTATTTATACGGGTATTATCGCAAAGCTCCGATCTTCCAGTGCCGCGCAGAAGGGCTGATCTTATCCCAAAGTGTGTGTCATCAGGGATAAGGCTTGGCATTGCTACCGACCTCATATAAGTACTTTCACATGCTGCCATAACGTGACATATTTATTGCGTATGGTTTCTTCTGTCAAAAGGAAGTTATATTGAGCTCATCGATAGTTTCAATTCCAACTATCGTAACATTCCACAGGATACGTTGGTCGTCTTTGTCGAAACACGACCCAAGTCATAGTTCTCCTACACCATGAAGTTGAATCGTATCGCTGTCTACGGGCATCGCGGTTGAGGCAGTTCGAGCATTGTTGAGGCATTAACTGCTTCAGGTGCGGTTGCCAAGGTTCTGGACCGCGCCAGCTCAGACATCTCGAATCTCCCCACCCACATAACCAAGGTTGAGGTAGATATCAACGACGCAACTTCCCTGATTGAAGCTCTACAAGATATTGATATTGTAGTGTGAGTGTTGCTGCAAGACTAATGGTCACTCAGACTTATTTTCTCTTTACAGATCGCTTGTCGGACATGAAGGCGTACAAAGACAACATGGGTTCGTGAGAGCTATCCCCAAGACAAACGTGAAGCTATTCTCTCAGTCTGATCTTGCTGGACGGTACGATGAATAAGGCTTGAAGATCGGTGTCAACAAAGAGAAGCACAAGCTTGCAAAAGCCGCCTGGGCCGCTGGGATCCCAACGACTATTGTGTTGATGGGCAACTTTGCCGAGTTCGCGCTTAACACTATGTGAGTTGGTACCTATTATCAACCTGGAACTTCTACTAATCACGGAGATTCTGCATTGGTAGGGGTGTGGGCGTGGACCTGGCAGGCAACAAGATCACTTACTCTGGAAACAGTGCTGACGAGAAGCTAAACCTTTGGTGATTTGCTGCAATGGATCGAGAGAAAAAAAAAAACACTAGAGATCTATCTATGTCTAGGGGCTTATACGGTATTGTTACCAGCACAAGGTAATACGTAGGCGCCGCGTACGCATCCATCTTTTCTACGACGCCCATATCCCAGCTTGAGAACCGGGCCATCGCCCTCTGCGAGCTAGTGCCAACGGAAAAGGATATCACAGTTACACTGGAATCAAAACATGGCATTGGGCCGCAAACATCATCTCGTGGTCTCGAGAAGATCAAAGATGAGGTTGAACAATGGCTCGAGTCTGTCAGCGTGTTCACTGTGGCTTGGTACTGTCACAAGATCTGGGGCGCTGGCCAACAATCTCAGATGATTGGTTCCAACTTTTGGGAGGTTGACGATTATCAGAAGGCGACACTTGAAGATTTGATACTCGGAGAGAAGCTGGAGGCTTATCGCGAGATGCCAGACCAGGTTGTCGAATACTCCAGGCACTGTTTCCAACATGGACGTCAATCAGACTTTCAACCGGCAGCTATTACTGAGAGTTCATTGCCAATTCTAACGGCATTATGATTAGGTGTCTCTCATGGCAAAGTGAAATTAAAAGTCTAGGGGGGGGGGGGGGGGGGGCTTACATGGTGAATATCTACAATATCATCAAACAGAAAGGCGAGTTAGAATATTGGAACAATTATACTCAAGATTGGATTTTATTTCCTAATGTCTCTTTTTAACTTCTTTCTGAGAATCTCAGACCGTAATCAGAATCCCGATTCTATTGATTAGGATTGAAATTGTTTGTATGATCGTTGCTTGAAGCCTTACCCCAGTTGAATTAATGTACACCACGAGAGATCTTTACATAGCGCGGCGCATATAGAGACAATAAGTTCTAGAGGTAGTAAATTTGCTAGATGTGATTGCACACCTACGAAACAGAGCCATCTAATGGACGTGTCAACTGGGCGTCTTCCTCTATGCCCTCCACCAACCTACCAATTAGCGATTCCACAACAGTTTTCAAAAGAGAAGCCACAGCTCTTATCAATATTGAAAATCTTTACTTTTCATATTTAGCTTCAGGGCTTCTTGAATTGCTTTTTTATGATTGTAGGCCGGGCGACATCAAAGTTAATATATATGTTACCAGTTAACAAATACCTCTTTAAATTAGGCAATACTACTAAGCATAAGCCTAAGTTACTAATACCAAGCATCAAGAGTTAAAAAAAAAGCTTATATATAGAGTTCTTTCCAGCCACAGGCTACAATGATACTGCATAGTATAATTGACTAATGTCCAGCTCCACATATAATAGTGTTGCGATGTTAACTAGGCATTGCCGGTAACTATCGGAGTCATCGCCTTAAATCCGATGACCAATTGCCGGCTAATTATCGGTTATTGGACCGTTGGATCCGCCGAGAATTCGCGGCAACTGACTGGCTGTTCAACTAGACAAGCCACGATAGTTACCCTTTTCTTCTACACGCATAATATAGATCGACAGTTTACCCCTAATATTCGTCAATTGCCACTGATACGTATGGTTAACTATATCACCTAGCTGATACCCCCAGCAGGTAGTGCTTAACTTCATATGCAACATGGTTCATGGATGGTATAAAGGGGACTGAACTCAAACATTGCGACACCAATCATGTATATCTTGCTGAGATTAAGAATTTCATCCACAAAACATTTTAAATCAATGAAATGTGTTTGGAATGACTCGTGCGCGGGAAGGTTTTTTGTCTTCTCGCGCGCAAATGTACCGAGGATGATCAAGAAGTCATTGCGCAATGGCCCAGTGTTCATCTCAATGTGGTGGTAACTGACGGATCCTGGTCAAGCGTGGAATCAGTGGTTCCCGGCTTTTGAAGTCCGCCTCCATCATAGACATCCCAGCGTCGATAGATCGCCAAGCTTTCCTGAAGCCATCAATATCAAGAATAACCACCTTGTGCTCCTTGAACAGAGGATCCGATGTCCAAATAGAAGGTTACTTCTGTGCGCACTACCCACGTGTTCCTCTACCCCGCGATGAGCAACTACCTATCACAGAATGCGACCCCCTAAAGTGGTGGACATCCCCGAGAGGCAGGGTTACATCGGCTCTTGTCGCGACGCTGGTCCACGTACTCCGTAATCTTCCATCAACCACGAGGCCATAAGGTCCGATAACAGGCAGGTGGCTATCTAGTCCAAGATTTACCCCCCAGTGCCGGGCCTATGAGGTCCCGGGCATGATGACACGGGTTCCTTACAAGATCGTGATGATCACGTACACTTTTCTCGTCTTAATTACTGCCGTGACACCTGTGCAGGCTGCGTCGGCCCCAACACACCAACTCGTCGACGAATGAATTCCAGCCACACCTCCGCACGCTGCGGCGGGCCGAGATGCTGTAGCGGGCTAGTCGGCCTGCAGGCTTGCATCAATAAAATTGCTACGCAACAGCAGCTTCCTTTTGAAGTCAAAATGCTTGGACATGAGTCGCATGTGGCTTGTGAATGAGATGACAGGAGTCAGAAATGCAGGCTCAGCCCGACGCGGGTCCCCCCCCCCTCCCCCCCCAGGTTTTGGACTGGGATGTCAACGCCTGTGTGAGAATATAGCAGATTAATGCCGGGCCCTGGTCCTGGTTCCCATACCCCTTATATTGGCGGGGATATCAACATAAACAGCATTAGCCCAGTTTCTGCCTAGAGACTACTCCGTACCTAGAGAGAGAAAACGCAAGAGACGTACTCACCAGGACTATGGCGTCTAGAAGCGATCGACAACCCTCGCGACTTCCCAGTATATAAGTCATGGTCGCTCCTCAGGTTTGGCTGTCGAAAGGAATCGGTAGAGCCTCAAACTCCCATCTCCGACAAGCCACATCCTGCTTCTGCTTCTACAAGAGCCCCCAGTCAGGCAGCCGACCCTCCACATCTTCACAATGAAGGCCAGCCTCTTCTTCTTTGCGGCCTCCACGGCTCTCGCCGCTCCCCTCGAGAGCATCCCCGCTATCCGCGACGTGGCATCGACTTTCCCCCTCGCCGAGCTCGAGGCCTACTACACGGCCGCCTTTGCCTCCAAGGGCGAGGAGGCCGAAGCTCTGAACCCGGCCATCTCTAAGCGTCAGTACCAGAGCGACACCTCCAACCAGCTCACCGACGGCACACCTTGCCGCCCGGTCACTCTGATCTGGGCCCGTGGCACCACTCAGCCCGGCAACCTTGGCGAAGCGGGCTCCGAAGGCCCCGCCTTCTTCAACGCTCTTGCCTCAATGATTGGGGCTTCGAACCTGGCTGTTCAGGGCGTCAACTACGCAGCCAACATCCTCGGCTTCCTCCTTGGCGGTGACCCGGCTGGCAGCACCACCATGGCCAATTTGATCGCTCAGGTGAGGACAACGGTCTCTAGAGTGGCCATTAGTGTTCTCCGCTAACAGCTCAATCGCAGGCCGTGACCCAGTGCCCCAACACCAAGATCGTTATCTCTGGCTACAGTCAGGGTGCGCAGCTCGTCCACAACGCCGCAAACAAGCTGACTGCGGCTCAGACTGCCCGCATCTCTGCCGGTATGTCCATGCTTCCCGGCATCCGAGACGATGTGACTCAAAACTGTTTACTGACCTGATCCCCTGTAGTTCTCGTCTTCGGCGACCCATTCAAAGGCCGGGCCGTTGGCACTGTTCCCGCTTCCAAGGTCAAGATCGTCTGCCACGACGGCGACAACATCTGCGATGGTGGCATCATCATCACCTCGCAGCACACGAACTACGAGGATGACGCTGTCTCGGCCGCTACTTTTGTTGCTGGTCTGGTTCAGTAAATGTTCTAAGTGGGTTACAAAAATATGGAGGAATGTACGCGTACCTTGGTTTATGATGCTGGCTCCTGATATCTACGGGGCTATAATGTGTATATCATGACTAATGGAAACAATTCGTCTACGCTGGCTCGAGACCCTCGACTTACCTGCTGCTCACGGGATGAAATGACAACTTTGAGGCTTCGAGGTCATGTTCGCAGCGATCGGCTTCTCGGCTAAAAGCAATGATGGGCATGAAAGCCCGCATCATGGACCAGGCGGGGCCACCCAGGGGGAAAACACGGGCAACCCAAGTCAGCAAAAAAAGCAACCATTGCCCAGCAACTTGGGCCAGAACGAAGGGGAAAAAGCAACAGGATGACAGAGTCCAGGTGGACCCAATCATTCAACTGAGCAGGTGAGGACTAGACAAGCTTTTTATTATGATCGGATGCAGCCCCCCCCTAATCATTATGCTAGTTAAACACGACTGTCTTCGTCTTGTTGAGAAACACGCGTCCCTCGGCGGTCCATTTCACAGCGGCAGCCAGAACCTGGCTCTCGATGTTGGATCCCTCTTCCACGAGGTCCTTGGGGCTCATGCCATGATCGACTCTGGCGATGCGTTGCTCGATGATGGGGCCCTCGTCCAGATCGGCCGTGACAAAGTGGGCCGTTGCGCCGATGATCTTGACACCGCGCTCGTAGGCCTGGTGGTAGGGCTTGGCACCCTTGAAAGAAGGCAAGAAGGAGTGGTGGATGTTGATGATCTTGCCGGACATGGCCTCGCACAGCTTGGGCGAGAGGACCTGCATGTAGCGGGCCAGAACAACGAGCTCAACGTCCTTCTCCTTGACCAGGCGCAGGATCTCCTCCTCCTGCTGAGCCTTGGTGTCCTTGGTGACGGGCAAGTGGCGGAACTCGATGCCGTAGTTGCCGGCGAGGCCCTGGAACTCGTTGTGGTTGGAGACGATGAGGGGAATATCAATGGGCAGCTGGCCGGACTTTGCGCGGAAAAGGAGGTCGTTGAGGCAGTGGCCGATCTTGGAGACCATGATCAGGGTGCGCAACTTGCGGGCGACGGGCCGGATGCGGTACCAGTCCAGCTGGAGGTCGGCGGCGAGGGCGTCGAACGGGGCCTTGAGGTGCTCCGTCGACTCGGTCTCAGTCGGCCCAAAGTGCACGCGCATGAAAAACTTTTCCGAGACGGGGTCGGAGAACTGCTGGAGGTCCAGGATGTTGAGCTTCTGCGCTGCAAACACCCCCGTCACGGCGTGCACGATGCCGGACTTGTCCGGGCACGAGAGCGTCAGGATATGGTCGTGCGTGGCGGGAGCCATGTTGAATGTCTTATCGGCGAGAGGATTCAATTGTGTTGAAGAAGGTTATTTGCTAACCGCAGTTGGGGGGGGGGGGATGTTGACTCTTCCACACTTAAAATCTTCACTCTAGGTTGGTTTTCTCATTACCTCTTGGAAAAGATGAGTCAACCACTAAAAACAGCCGTGGGGAACCAGCTGCGTCGCGCCGCTCCTGGTTCGGGGATGTTTCGGAGACCCGCAACCGGCTCAATTGGTTCCGTTGAAGAACTTCTTCAACACCATCGCGAAGGCTCTCTTGCATATGGGTCTCGTGGGGGCTCGACTGAATCTTGTGTGACCTTGGCTGAATAAGGTGAGGTGTGAAACGCCGTCTAGCCTTGATCGCACTTACTTGTCGTGCATGCTAGCCCTTACTCGTGAGCATTATCAATGAACACTGAAAGTCGAACCGCATCGTATGGTCGTGTCACTTACGACTCATCTAGATTGGAAGCCATTGTAGGAGCATCAATGGCGCAAGCTGGCATTGCTGATGGCTTCATAAGGTTGAGCCTAGGGTAGCCTTGTATTGCCTATTCTCTACAACTGTAATTAAGCTCAATAATTGATTTTCTTGACATAGCCGTGCCACAACTCGCACGCATCATCACCAACCAATACAAAATTTCCAGAAAGTTAATATCGGAAAGAATATTTTAGGCAAAGACACAAACCTCTTTCACAATAATAGAACTTGGCGGATGGCGACGCAACAAACTAAAACACAAGCGTAGCAGTGTTAAGGGAGGGGTTCTTTGATCTTTCGAGACAGCACGTGTTATCAGACTCGTCCCAAGCCATAGAAGTGTGTTTTCAGAACAAATATTATCATTCCTCTTCCCTTCAAATCTTCTCAACATACCGCGCATATCACTTAGACACTTGTGTCAGTTTTGTTCTCGTCAGTTCCCCCGGCTGTAAACACCTAGTGGCTTGGACTTCATGCATATTCGAGACGAGTCGCTTCTTCTTGAAATCTCTCCCATTAGTCAATTCCTCCGTCAGAGAGGGGAAACCGTCTTCTGGATGTTTCAAGGTAAATGTAGGACATCATTCCAGATGTCAGCGAATTTTGTCACCATAAAACAATCAATAACTGCGCTGAATCAAGGCGAATATTATTTACGTTGCTCTACAACTCCTTAATACCCTGACAAATCGCTGGTGTATCAACTACTAAAAGAGTTATCACCGGGCTGCCCTACCACTTTTCAGTCAACGAAGTCGTTCGAAAGATGATTATTCCATCTTGACTCTGTTGTCTCTTAGTCGTCGGCATGGTAGTAAGAGCAGCTAGCAGGCTGATAGCCGAAACCATGATAGTGTCTTTACTCTTGTTCCTAAGCGCTCGGTGTTGTAGCCTGGGCTGCTTAAAATAGCTGGGATGACCCACATTGGCTTTAAGTATGAACAAATGTTCTGGGTGAGGTACTGCCGGAACCTGCATCAGGGAAAGATGTCGTCGCTGGGCAATTGGAAACGTGGTCAGGTCTCTTCGAGAACATGCTGCAACAAGACAGCTTCTGTGAGCCGGATTCCACAACTCACCTGGTCCGGCGCAAGCCCTTGAGTATATGGAGACGGCAACTCATGTAGGAGGCAATTTCGGATATCATCGTTGCTGAGAAGGTGGTTGAGTGGACCATCGAGGTTGAAGAGTGTGAGATCAGCGACGGTGAGATGGCACAAAGCATGGAATGAAGTGCCAAGTGGCAAAGGATCGAGACTGTCTCTTGGGTACAGTTTGGAGGACAGTCAGCGGCCGGGGTGGGCATCAACTACACGTTTTGTGAGCGCGAGGGGGTGCACGTCGAGTCTCCTGAGATAGCAGACAGAAAGTCTCAACATGTCAAATAATTGACAAGAGGCATTATGCTGTTGTTCAGCGTCAAATAGCATTCGAATGCAGTCTGGGCTTGCACAGCTAAATTGTTGAACCAGCGCCTCATGTTACCTGATAATGGGGCTCTCCAAATATGCGTGCAGCCCTGTAACAACCCACTATAGTCCTCGTAAATAGGCATCCTCAGGCAGAAACGTCTTGTTACTAGTGTACCTTTAGTGCACATTTGTGCGTTACACAGCGCGCATTTGGGCGGCGATGTGCGCACAACAGCGCAGAGCTGCAGGAAATAGTGTCATTTGGATGCAACGAGGCTAATTAATTGTCTCAAGACGACCGGCGACGGGGTGGACCTCCCGCTCACCTAGCTTACCTGGCTTTCGGCGGGATTTTAAAGAGTTGAATGCCCCTCTTGGATCCGTGGCGATGCGAACTGAGGAAATGTTATATGATGAACCGGGGGTCTACGCCGCCAAACCAGCACATTTCGGCCGCGGCCCATGGGCTCATTGAGAGGAGAGGAAATGTGAAGGTCTGCTCAACCGTCGTCCGAGTGAATGAACCAACAGTGGCTGTGCCTGAGACTCTGCCTGCCACTCTGCCTTGGTGGTTCTTAGCTGAAGAACAGAGCTCCCAAGTGGTTCGCAACCTCAGGAAATGGGAAAAAAAGTAGGCTGTGATGGCGAGAAAGTGTAAGGCGTCCGTTCAAGGCGATCGAGGGAAATCGCCTGAGTGCGCCCCGTCGCCGCCCTGGTCAATGGAATCATGAACCCAAGTCACGTCTGCCTTCTTCCGACTTCCTCGCTGGCAAGGCCGTTCTTTAGGAAAACACAAAGCATTCTTACCTCCATAGCATTGCCAGATTTTGCTGTAATTGCGCGACCAACGATATCCAGTCGCGTGCTTCGTTACCGGTTGAGTTGTGCCGACAACGACTATGAGTCGGCTGGGTTGGCAACACTTACGGGCCTTCTCTGCAGCAGCCCAGCACGACTCCAGAAAGGATCATTTCTCCCGGTTATCTGCAAGCCTTCCAACTGTCACTCATCCGTTGGACTCGGGTATTGATAGAGAAAGATACGAAGACAGCGGTTGCGGTCAACCGAAGTCATCCCTATCCCTACAGCCAGCCAGCGCCCTGGACCATGTTCAATTGGCGACGATTGCCCGCCTGCTCTGCATTGAGGGGCTTTTCCTTCTCATCATTAACGACACTGTCAATGGAAATCTATCGCCCATCACCCTCTCCATTTCGAGGGCTCAGCAAGATATATCAGTATTCTTATATACCTTCTGGCTTTCACTATACCTAGTCATTGAGCAAAGTCCACGTCAGCACGTGGCCGAGTCAAGATCCTTCGCTTCGCAACCAACGGTCCGCCGCCACCGAGCGTTCAGCAGATGGCTTGGGGCTGTTCCTGTGCTGTTGCAGCCGAGTTACAGTCGCCTTCAGGGTGTCCTCGCAGCACGCGACAGCGGCGTCAACGAGCGAAACGGCACCGGGCAAACAACCACTTCAAGTCGCACCAGGGCAGGCAGGGTTGGAAAGACTCCCTTCAGGCGCACAAAGAAATCAAAAAACGGATCGAGTGCGCCGCGCCCAAGAAAGCCTCCAAGCGGAAACGAAAGCGACCCGTCCTCGGAACGTGAGACACAGGGCGGCTCCAGGGCGAAGGCCCGGAAAGCCAAATCAAAGGGGCCCCGATACGCCTGCCCCTATCTCAAGAGGGATCCGTTCCACCATCTGAAGTGTCTCTGCCAACACCAGGAGAACTCAAGACGCGTGAAGCAACATCTGACGCGGAACCATTCGCAGCCCATTCACTGTCCGATTTGCTACCAGGACTTCGAGACGCGGCGGGAGTGCGACGAACATGTCATAGCAGGCGGCTGTATCCCGGGAGCACATGCCCCGCCAGAGGGAATGACACAGGACCAACAGACACAGCTTGACCAAATCACCGCCACCAACGAGGACGGGAAGTGGTTCGCCATGTGGTCCGTTCTGTTCCCCGGCACTAATCCCCCGTCAAGCCCATATGCCGATGCCGATGACCTGGGCGGGTTCATAGCTGGAGAAGTGCACCGCTTGTGGAGGCCGCTGTACAGGGCGCTTCTCCAACCCTTCATGGACGACGACCAGTTCGAGCGGTACCATAGCCTTCTTGTGCGCACTTCGAGTTCGTACTTGTCAACTTTCTCAAGCTTGCTCGCCGGCCGCGGCCCAATGCCATACGCCGATGGGTGGCCATCGTCATTGCATACGTCTCTCGAACACTGGGTCCAGGATAGTCCTGAAGAGCCCCCGAACAATACTGATCGGGGGCTCTCACCAGTCATGAGTCCCAGCGCCTTTCTCCCCACGACGCCTCCGGCCGGATCCTGTACCTTACCCGATGATGGCTCGAGTCTTGATGCTAGTTCTTCCCACACAATTGACTCGACTGGTAACGTTAGCATACCGCGAGAAATGTCGAATGACCCCGAGACCATGGTAGACCGGCCGATGCGGCCTGAAGAGGCGCCCAATCTCATGTGGGCCTTCACGGCAGGCCAATTTCCTCCCATCATCGAGAACAACCAGTATACCAACACTCTTCCTCCGGTAGACCGATACCAGGAATCCAACCCCAATCCTTCGACCAGCGGCTTCGGATTTGGGCCAACGAACTCACCTCTGGGTGCGGGCTACACCCACGCTCCTCCGATATATGACCCCGGAGTCTTCCCAAACAGCTCATTGTCCAATTTTTGCGGATCCCGCAGCCCCCAGCAGTTGCGAACCGCAGCCATTTTAGATCAGTTCATGAGCCACTATGATGACGGCAACTACACGCCACACATCACGTCCCCGGGAATCATCGGCTTCAGCCAAGCGGCGAGGCACCAATCCGGCGGCCCTGCGCCACAACCGGTCGGCGACGGTATTCCGGTCCCGCAGAGAAGGCGGCAGCATAACCATTTCGAGCGTACAGGGCCGCGACACTGTTGACGCCGTGGGAAACGCGGGGCTCACGTCTCACCAGACCCACTACTCTTGTTCAGTATTTCCATCTCTTTCATCTTGGACAAGGTGCAGCGTTCTATACCGGATACACCTGCCTATCAGACTTTTGTCTTGCCTCTTCCTTCTTGTTGTCTCGTGAACAGCGCACATTGCGTATCTTTTTCGGTTATGGAAGGGCGACGGCTGGGATTTACAGGACAGCGCGTGGAAATCTGGCACCGACACAGCACTTCGTCATGGCGGGTTTGCATGGCACGGCGTCTGGCTTGCACACACAGCACATAGATGGCATAGAATTGTAAAGAAGTGAGAAATACTTACTCCAAGGTCGGAATGCTTGGATACTTGGTCGCCCACGGCTAGTGGTGGAGCGACTCGTCCCGTATAGTAGAGACCTTATCCGAACGCGGCGTCCGAGCCGATGCCTTAGCTTGGGGGCGTCGGTGGACTAAACACCCTTCCGATGGAATCTTTCCAAGAGCCGCTCTGCCTTGTCTCCTTCCTTTGCCGCCTCGTCCAAAGTTGGCGCTTCTGTGGTCACCTCTTGCTGTCCATCTGTCGGTCAAGTCGGCAGAAAGCCCGATTTGAGCGGGCCGAAGCTCTTTGCTCAGTGGGTGGATAGTAAGTAATTCAGCAGCCCCGACTCAGCACCAAACCGCCCTATGCTTCGGGATTCTGCGACCAGCTAGTTCTGAAACACTGCACCACCTATAGATTACAGAGATGTCGGAACCAAGCATTCTCGTGCAACCCATTGCCGAAGTCGTCGTGGCTACGTTTTAGACGTCCAGGCTCGCCTGCGGAGCTGCCAGAGGCCTTTCAAAGACCATGCCCACGCCGGAGCCTAAGAGAAAATGTTAGATGTTAATCTTGCGCCACTTAGCCTCCACATCGAGGTTGATTAGTAGGTTGGTGCCGAGGGTCATCAGTATAAGCCTGAGACATACCGCAGGGGGTGTGTTTGCTGTCTTGTTGAATGTACACGCCCGTAGCAGCGGCCATGCTAGTATTGGACAAGATGAAGGGTAAGAGATGGACACCGTAAAGGAGTATCTGATAGCCTCCCTTGGGACGCGGTGCCCACCCATTGGTAGCCTGGTACGGACCGGACGTTACCCACGACCAAATGTCTTCAGTTTGCTTAAAACATGACAACAGCGCTTATAGCCAGCCTCATCCACCCTGCGTGCTAAAAAGATAAACCCTGATTGGCCTCTCACGGTCAACGCCTAGGTCGTATGCATTAACAAACCAGCAGATTGCTGCAACTCCAGGGGGCTGAGACTAATTTCTCCAAGATCGAGAGGAACGGTGGCGCAATCGTGTGGCCGTCGTGCAGTGAAGTTTACCTTCGAGATATCTGAATTCTGATGGTCTGCTCCTGGCCCCATTGCTTTTTCCAAATCATCATCACGTAACATCTGTGGCTTAAGTAGCGAGCGCGAGATTCGCCACCTTTGATTCTCTTACCTAGGTACGTAATGGTTCTGTGGCGCGGAAATACATCACTGAGTCCTGAGGCTACTGCGTAGAAGGCGCACGTAAGAACCGGCTGACTGGGATATTACGCGGCCGCACGTCTATAAAGACATTTTCCCACAAAACCATCAGTCCATGTTGGACCATGGAGATGAGTAAGGAGCTTCCCCACGTCCTGTACCACTGATAATGTAATCATAGAGTTGTCGAAGAGAAAATCACGGAAACTTGTACAACTGAGATGATCCAGAAGCTCATACCCTATATTCGTTGTCAGGTGGAACGGGTGGGACGGCACCACGCTTAATGACTAAGCAGATGGAGACAGGCAGGGGTATACCTCTAACATCGCGCGCGCCGTTTCGGGAAGGAAAGACAGGGGTCGGTCCGCGCGCGGGGAAGAAGCAGCGACGTTCGAGGAGACAACATTGGAAGGTGCGCTGGGGTCGGGCTGTGCCCTGAGCCTCCGAGGACGCGTTGGCCTTTTTAGAGTTGCGCCAGCACGGATCACGCATGCCGAGGAAGCCGTCGAGTGTAATCCGGACTTTGGCTATCTGTCGTGTATTATAATTCCCTCACCTCTCTCAATTGGCGTGCTTACCGACGAAGCCGTGCTTCCGTTCCCCCCTCCTCCGACACTGAAAGACAAACGCGTCGAAAACACATCCTCCTCGTCCAAAGCCGTCCTCCGCGCCGCGAAACCTCTCCCGAAACAGAGAATACCAAGCCAAGATGGTCGCGACACGATCCTCCTCCCGCGCCCTCCCCAACGGCGTCGACGCCTCCCCGTCTCACTCCCCGTCTCCTGCCCCCGCCCCCGTCGTCGCCTCCGTCGCCTCCGCCGTCCGTGACAACAAGTCCGCCGCCCCCCGCGGCTGGTCCCACGCCCCGACCACCCTCACCGCCGCCTGGCTCCTCGTCTCGCTGCCCCTCGTCGCCTGGGACACGGGCTACGTCCTGCTGCGGCCCTGGACCATGCCCGGCGGCCACCTCCACTGGCCCCTCTGGGTCCCCTATGCTCTCTACGGCGAGGTCGACTACGTCTACGGCCGGAAGGCCTTTGAGGCCCGCAACGGCTTCACCTCGGCCCAGGGCGCCCTCAACCTCGTCGAGACCCTCATGTACCTTGCCTACGTCTGGCTGTACGTCTCGCGCGGCGAGTCCGTCGGGGGGCCTGCCGGCGCCAAGAAGACCGTCGGCGGGAGGGCTGGCGCCCTGGCCGTCGTCATCGGCTTCAGTGCCGCCGTCATGACATTGAGCAAGACGGTGCTGTACTGTAAGGGCTCCGTGGCACAATCAACCCCTCCCCCACCTTGCTTTTTTTTTCCTTTTCGGGAAACGCTAACGTGAAATTCCACCTGCAGGGGCTAACGAGTACTTCTCCGGCTTCGATAACATCGGCCACAACACGATGGCTGATATAATCACGATGTGGATCATCCCCAAGTAAGTGCTCATCCCTGGTCTGACATGTTGCCGCCCCCGTGCAGGGTTTCCCTAGTGCTGACTTGGGGTAGCGGCGCCTGGATTGTCGGGTCGGGCTACATGGTCTTGTCCCTGGGCGGCGAAATCGTCAACGGCCTGGCTCTCGCCTCGAAGACGACCAAGACCGAGTAACTCGCGACTAGATACGTGACGGGCGTATCGAGCCTCTCAGTCGGTATCCTTTGGGGAATAAACCCATCATTTGGTAGGAATAGCACCATGGGTTGGGGCACGCTGCTGCTGTAAGATGAAGAGATAAAATGAGGAGCATGTTTGATAAAAGTCGAAGAGGATCTCGGGTCGCAATACACGTCGGTAATTGCTATTCGAAAAGATCCTTGCACTTTGTCCAAGTGGTTTCGATGCTTGATAGCAGTAGATTATGTCGCGGAGCCCCCCTCTTCCTGATTGTCGCGTACTGCCAAGCAAGAGACCAGGGGCCGCCGCCAAAAACAAGGTGTCCGCCGTCAACGCTAACAATGCGGACCTAGATGGGCCACTGTATCTGGGCCCAAATCAGCTTAGATGCCATAGCAGTTCTGGCCTCTGATGGCGACTGGCTTGTGCGAGGGCATCAGGAAATGTTGTTTGGTGTAGGTACGATATATGTTTTGCAGTGAACGGTTTTCGCTTAATTGAAAGCTCACTCCAGAGCAATATTACTTATTTACGATGCTATAGATGACCATGCCAATCCACTTAAAAAAACAAAAAAAAAACCTCTTTCCTCATTGTCAAATGCGCCTTTCCGTTTTTGTTTTCTGACCATGCCATGCCGTTCGAAGTGAGAATGAGAGGAAGCGGCAGGGTATCTTATTGTATCCAAACTGATGTGGAACAAGTGAGGGGCAAACGAATGAAACGGCGACGTCGGAGTCGCTACACCTTAAAGCCACGCCGGAGAATCTCAGATATGCAGGGGCGACAGTCTGGTCAGTCCGCCCAGGTGCTTGTACTTGTCCCATTCGGGCGCGTAGTCGTCCAGGTGCCCCAAGATCGGGGATTCGGGGTACGTAGGAAGCGATGGCTTGGGGATCTGCAGCGAGAGCGGCTCCGTGTCATGGCGGTTGAAGTCGCTCTCTTGTTCCTTGACCAGGTCGACGTAGTCCTGGGCGTAGTCGCCGCCACCGATGACGGTGTACCGTCTTGCGAAACTTGCTTCTGCCGGTACTATTACCGGGCTGACATAAGATGATGCTAGTTCTAGTGCCGGGCTGGCAAGAGGAGAGATCGGTTCCAGTGCCGGGCTCAGGCGCGCCGGTTCAGAAAAGGATAGCACGGCCTTGACGCGCCGGCGGCCACGCAGGGGCACAGGGCTCAACATGGGCGTGTCCTGGTTCGGCCAGTTCTTACACGGCGCCTTGGGCGACGTCGGCGGGACCGTGGACTCGGCGACCGTGGACTCGGCGGTCGCGAAGCTGAAGGCGCCCAGCGACTGCGCCTCGGACACGAAGCTGGATTCAGACGACGTCGAAAAGGAACGCATCGCCGTCGTGGTCTTTGACGAGAGCTCTGCGGGGGGCGCTTCGGCAACCTTCTTAACCACAGCGTTGGTACCGTTTCCATAACCCTTTACCACAATCTCGCAATAGGAACCCTTCCTCGCCATCGCGGTCGGGACGCTTTGTTCTTCCAGTTTGCGGAAGATGCTGAGAGATCGTCGGAAAGTGTTGCTGCGGGGTAGACTCCGGCTCCGGGACCGGGGCGGAGCCGCCGCTGATGGAGCGACGGCTACCGACTTGCGATGAGACAGTCTCTCCTCGCGACGTGCTTGAGCAGTGTAGTCTATGTCGGGTCGGATCTCGACAGAAGGGGACACTAGGGTTGGTGTCGGCAAGGCACTGCACTTCGACGCCCAGTCTGTAACCGACTGCTTGGTGCTCGACGTGGGATCAGTGTGGCTGCGGAAGAAGGAGTGCAAGTTGCGACCCTCCTTCCAAGGCGGTAGCTTCTGGGTCGAAACTGCGAGGTGGTAGTCCGCCTTATCGACGTCGCTGACCTCTGCAGATGCCTCTGTGCAGCTCAGAAGAGCCTGGTAACAACAGTAAATCAGGATCCAGCGTACCTTGCGAGCATCCACTAGGCTGATCTTTTCGACCTTGTCGACACGGTTGAGCGGCGAGACCGAATCCTCCTCAAACTTGCGGTAGGCGCGAACAAAGTCGTTGCGGAGCGTTTCCTGATCCCGCATATTCATAGCCTTGGTCAGCGCACTATGAGCGATCAGACGCTCATCGGGTTTGAGCTTGTCGGCTCGCGCAGGGCTTGTCAACCATTGGATAGATACCCGCCGGCCAGATTTGTCCCCGCCTGTCTCCGGGAGTAGCATAGATACCCGCCGGCCAGACTTGTCTCCGCCTGTCTCCGGGAGTAGCGGCAGTGGGTGTTTCAAAGATGTATACTTGGAACGCCGGTCGAAATCGTTTACACTTTGGAATGTGCAGATGCCGCCCTGAGCAAGGATCGGGCTGCTCTCCGCGGAGGTGAAGCTCTGATCGACCAGCAGTTCGTATACGGCCTGGAAGTCTTTGCGCATGGTCCGAAGAACCTTGGGGTCAAATATCGAACTGCTTTCCGACTCGGGCAAGAGAGGCGGCCAATAGCCAAGCTTCGTCGCGTAAAATGATCGGACAAAGCTTCGGAATCGGTCCAGGTGAGCACGGTTACCGGCCGAGAGGCCGAGATGTGATTCAGACAGCTCATCCTCCAAGAACGTTTTCAACATGTTGCCCGCTTTGCTTAGCCGTGTGTCCATGTCATTCCGTGCCCTGCGTATGAGCATTCTGGTGACTGAGCCAATGTGCTGGATTGTGTCAGTCTCACTTCGAAACTGTTGGTGTTGGTTACGCATACCTCAAATTCGGGGTTGTACTGAAGATGCTCGCTCATTCCAACACAGTGGCTGAAGGCGTCAATATACATGTCTGTCATCTGGAAAAACTCGGCTAGATGCAAGAGCGCCACCGCATGGTGCGGTTGGCCTTTGATATCCAGATACCCTTCTTCATCCATGTAGGATATGAGCTCTGGCACGTTGTCTTCGTCGTTGCCTCTGAATTCTGCCATGCTGTTCAGCAGGCCAATGAGAGCGATTCCGAGGTGCTCGCCCACCACTGAACGGCGGAAAACCCATGCCAAGAAATTTCGCGTCGCGAGGTGGTAGGAAAACGCCTGTTCCTTGTTCGCCATTGGCGGAGCTGGAATATAAAGCTCGACTCTCTCGTTGGGGTGTAGAGAGTTCCACCGGTCCAAGTCTTCGAACACGTCGTTGAACGACCCCGGTGACTCGGGCGTGTCGCAAGACATGAATCTCTTGACGAAATGGTGGCATTTTGCGGTGAGCAAAGTGCTGAATGGTACTTTAAACGCGGGACCTCGGCGAGACTGGCCTTTGCCGTAGAGGTGAACGAAGCAGTTCCCACCTCGAAACCAGAGTTCAGGATCCTATGGTGACAGTGTTAGTGGGTGGATCAGATGCGTTGGAACGACCCTGTGGCCAATCTACCCCGGTGTCGAACTCACCCTTCTCAAGTTGTCCCAGTCGGTACATGATTTTGCCGCACCATCCCACCTCTTGACTTTTGAGTTCTGAGGCACTTGTGTCTCCATAGTAACCCCCAGCTTGTTTGGTGCCCAGTTATGAACAAAGTCCGACTTCGTAAGCGTTGGTGGCAGAGACACACGAGAATGCCGATGACTTGTCCAGGTGGAAGCAGAAGTATAAGACAGCTTTGCAGGGGGGGCAGGAATGTTGATATGCATGGTCGCTGGATAGCGCCCGTGCCGAGAGGACCTCATCCTGAGCCGAATGCGGCGGGAGCTTTGGTGGCAATCGAAGCGCCGATGACAGAAGAGGAGAGTGACCCGGACTGCCAGTAGACACCCGATGATCCTCCGGGGTCCTTGACAGATCTGCCAATCACTGAGGGGGACTGGATCGACGACTGATGCGGTCAACCAGTGCGCCCGCAAGTTGTAACAATGAGCTCGCGAGTTGTCGCTTGTACGCAGCCTTAATCGAACGCGTCGAAAGCAGCAGGCCTAGGCGTGCAATGAGGTTCCGATCGGGTGGGCAGACGATGGCCGAAAGCATCACAAAACGTCGTAGGGTGGGAGGTTTGGTGGCTTTATGTCGACTGGTCTAGGATCAAAACATCCAAACCCGACTTTCCACTTTCCAACCCGCCTCTCATGCTGCCTAGACTTTCGACCCTCGCGGCCCGTGCTATATGTGGAGAGACGCGGCGAGAGACATAGAGGGACAGCCTCAAGCCATGTTTTAGTTCGGGCCGCCACTGGGTCAGTGAATGAGCTCCCCCGTCCGGAGCCTGCCCTAGTCTCTGTCTTCGTCTCCGCTCCGTCTCTTGAGCAGCGAATGTGCATGCGCATTGCCATCTGCTGCAGGTAGGATTTTTTTGGAAGAGTTTCCCGGTTCTGCGCAGTATCCTCTCACATCAGCCCTGATCCTGCATACGCTTGCTGCAGCTTCGGCTCAGAGACTGTGTCCCTGCAGGTGCCGCTTCCGTGGGTCAACTTCCACAGGAAAACGGTATCGACGGTTATTTTGCCTTTTCATTGGCTACACATGATGTTGGGAGGTGACATGCCACCGACGCTACTGTGGCGGGGCCCACGACAACGTTGAAGTGGTCGGCCATGATATCCTGTGTCCACCATCATGGCGGTATTTCTCTGCCGTCGTTCATCTCTCGGTCCGAGTCCTGGGATCGTGCTGCTGAGGGGCGGTGATGCAAAGTGCCGCTACTGGCTCCATTCGCACACAATCCAGCAGCCCACAGTCCGGGGGCTTGTTTCTTCTGGGGAGTCGCTATCCTCGATGCATCCTTCGGTGCGTGAGTGCATTCGTTACGGAGCTCGCTGATTGGTCATGGCAGGCTCCTATCGGCCGAGAAGATCAATGTCTCATGTCATCTGCAGCTGGATAGCCGGGAGCTTTGGTTCCTTTTGCCCTCTGTCTTGGGACGATTGAACACGGCCTGCGCCCATGATTCATCAAAGGTCATTCAGCGGCAAAGTCCATCTCGTCGTAACGGTCTCGATCGCATCCGGAGAGTGTGCAATGGTGTCTGCCCGTCTTCGGCGAATCGGTGGCAATCTCGACTCTGTGCCTTTCGATTCAAGAAACCTTGTGGGCGATGGTTCAGGACACAGGACATCGTCATTCGCGCAACGCTACGACTATTCATCATGGCGTAATCCTCCAGAATGCGGATGCTCCTCTCAAAACAAATGGACTTTGTCAGGAAGCAGACCGCGTACCCCGGTCTGTTCCCAGAGCTGTAAATGCGGTCGCAGTGTTCCCTGATCATGACTAAGACACTATTGTGCCACCTCGTCAAGAATCAAGACTGGTGAGTTACAGCAACGCTGTCAAAAGTGTCTTAAATTGTGATCCGGCACATGGAACGAAGGAAACGCATAGGTTGAGGTTGCCGAGCTCATGCCGTCGGCCGAAACGAACCCACTTTCTCAGGAGCGGAGACCAGTGGATTAACTGTTGAGTGCCCATGCATCTCAGATCAGATCAATATCATTATGTGGTGTAGGGATCGCCCGGGACTTGGGATGCCAAAATTTCTCTTCTCCCTATCCGTATTTGACGGCGGTTGCGAGTTTGTGTGCGTTGTCGCTTTAGCAGCGCGTATGCACAACGCACAACTTGACTGTCTCGCATGTTACGTGGAAAGGTGACCCCAGAAAAAGATGCAGATACTCTGCATGGAAAGAGGCAGCATCGGTCAGCGGAAGTCCAAGTGATGCAATGATCCGCAGTTTAAACACTAGACCTTAAAGAGATAACCTGGCGTCAGATTCGGGCCTCGCTCGTTTTGGGGTGGGAGGCGTGCGCGACCCAGTCCCTCGCTGGCTTGGGGCGTCATGCGGGACCCGAGTGATCTGGAGAGCCAACGACTGGTGCAGAGCCGAGCCGCCATAAAAACGTCGAGCCCGAAAGCCAAAATCCAAGCCGGGTCGCGAAACAGAAGATAGGCTTTAAGGTGAGTCAAGCCAGCCTCACCACCCCAGGCCAGGCCATAAGAAGCAAAGTTGAGAAAAGGAACGTGGGAAAAAGACGGTGAGACTGAAGTCTCATGAACGAAAGAAAGGTAATCGAGACACATCCTGACAGTCAAGGGATGACACCCATGATAGCTTCGTCGAGGCGATACTTGGCGAGAAGGCGATTCGGTGTGGACAGGAGTCAGGTGTCGGTCCTGTGCGAATCCGAAAACGTGGAGCTGTGTTGACCAATAATGCCCGTTCCGTACTTGAAGCTTTGCCTGCAAAGGAAAGATGTACAATGGGTCGTGCGTATCGCATCTGGAGCTAAAAGTAGCCCAGCTAAATGGTGAATTGGGAGACAAAGCAGGATGCTGGATGTGGATGTACTAGGTCTCGCGAGCGTCGGGAGGCGAAGGGTCCGGTCGATTGTGCTTACATAACGGGGTGGATCAAGGTACGTCCAACCGCGAATCGGCCCCAACAGCCCTCCGTCCTCCGACACCTGCTCCCCCACACTTGCCGCCCCTTCTGTATTCTCGTGACGAGGCACTGTCGCGTCCGGGATACAGCTCCATGCAGATTCTCAAACAGCCTTCTCGAACCGCCCAGCACAGTTACCTCTCTCTCTCGCAGACTGACCTTGCCGATTCCGGATTGCCCTCTGCTTGCACTATGTCGGAGCAGCAATGGCGCCTCTGACCCCTTACACCTACATCCGGTGCCCTTGTTCCGAGACGCGGGACCACAATGATGGCTCATCGACGCCTGGCAGCCCGGAAGACGATGAGCGGACTTTCGACCCACGCGCCCCGCGCGCCAACTTTAGCCTGTACCCCCTGGAGCACCTGATGTACTGCGAAGACTGCCACCAGATCCGGTGTCCGCGATGCGTCAACGAGGAGATTGTCACCTACTACTGCCCCAACTGCCTGTTTGAGGTACCTAGTAGCAACCTCAAAAGCGAGGGGAACAGGTCTGAGCAAACCCTTGTCCTGTGAGACAAACTATCGCATGGCTGACTCTTTGAAAGGTGCACTCGAAGCTGCTTCCAATGCCCCGTTTGCGTCGGACCCCTCGCGGTCACGAGCATCGAGGCGCCGCCAGAAAGCAGCAGCCTCCTAACTGCCGACGGTTCGGCTCCTCAAGGCGGCCCGTATGTCCTGACCTGCTCCTATTGCACATGGAGCTCGACCGAGATCGGCATCAAGTTCGACCGGCCCAATGGCATTCACGGCCAGCTTGCCAAGCTGCAGAACGGAGGCCAGCCCAAGCTGACGCCAAAGGAGCACAAGGAGAGGAAGAAGGAGAGCGGCGGCAACTACAAGCTGGATTCGGACAAGATGGACACGGATCTGCAATTCGCGCAGCTCAAGTCCTTCTACCAGAGCCAGATGGCCAACACCAACCCATCCGCCGGCGGTCTGTCGTCTCTGGGCGACCTCGGCCTCAACTCGCCCGGCTCGCTGTCCCGCATCATGAGTCTCTACACGGGCAACAATTTTGGAAACAAGCAAGCGCGGGGCAAAGTGCAAATTATGAGGGAGGCCGACAGCCCGGACGAGGGGTTGAAGACGACCGACTTGGACGAGTCAGATGCCATTGCGAAGCTCGGCCGCAGCCACTTCGACGATACAGCCACTCTCGCCCAGAATATGCACCAGCAGGAACCTGTACGGTTCAGAGATCAGCTACGGCCCATTCCTTATCTGCTCCGGACGAAGAGGTCCAAGAGATGCCCCCTGTGTCGACATATCATTAGCAAGCCGGAAGCCAAGATCTCCAACACACGATTCCGCATTCGTCTGGTGGCCGGGAGCTACATCCCCACCGTCACCATCCGGCCGCTGAACTCAGAGGTGCAGAACATCCCGTCCACTGCGCGGCCGCCGATACCACAGGAGCTGTGGCTCACGCCGCTGAAGCCAGTGCAGTACCTCCTAACCTTCAAGAACCCCATCTTCGAGACGGTCAAGGTGTCACTGGCCACCCCGTCGAGCACGCCGGGCCGCTTCGCGAGCTCGGTGACAGTGCTGTGCCCACAGTTCGAGATCGATGCCAACACGGACATGTGGGATGACGCGCTCAAGGACGACGGCGAGAAGGAGCGACGGCGGGGCGAGGAGGGCGGGATGCAGCAGGCCGAGGTGGGCAAGATCTACGAGCGCGGCCGCAACTGGGTGAGCATCGTGCTCGAGGTCGTGCCGGCGTCCCTGCGGCTGGAGCAGGACAAGGACGGCGGCGGCGGCGGCAGCGGCAGCGACGACGATGCGCTGAGGGAAGACGAGGACGTGTTGGAGATACCGATGTTTGTGCGGGTCGAGTGGGAGACGGAGGGTCAGGGTGATGTGGGCACGACGGCAGGCAAGGACAAGGAGGCCAGGGAGAAGAGGGAGCTGGCATACTGGTGTGTGCTGGGCGTGGGCCGCATCAACCAGGATTAGACTCGCGGCAGATGAAAATGATACCCCCAGACTTCGCTTCTTGACACTTGCACACTCAGTCGCGATTCACTTCTGACATGCACCAATCACATCAAACAAACAGATTATTGACAGAAAAGTAGGGGAGCGGCCAAGTGTGTGGTATATGCATTTTTTGGGAGGGGGCGGTCTGTAATTGAATCGCCCAAGCTACATCCTTTAGACGCCAGACCCTTTTTGACCAACCAGTCATTGCCATGCTCTCATCGCAGCAGACCAAAAATGCCAAAAGAAACCCCATCATTGACCGACCATGATCCCTTGATTTTTTGCTATCACTCTCAGCGAACCATCCCACAAAGCTTCCGCGAACGACAAGTGTGAGTGACGAGTCTAGTACTCGGTGGCGCCGGACTGGGGGAACTCGAAGGTGACGACGCGGCCGGTGAGCTTGCGGTAGACCTCGGAGTAGGTGTCGAGGCGGTAGTCGACGCCGCCGCGCTCCTTCTCGTCAAGGATGACCTTGAGGAGCTTAGAGCCGTCCTCCTTGGTGCGGACGCGCTTGCCGACGATCTCGACGGGGTAGACGAGGTCGGTGAGGATGGCGTCGTGGACGGCGGTGAGGGTGCGGGAGCGGGGGCGCTTCTGCTTCTGGGTGTTGCGGGAGCGGGCGGAGCGCTTGGGGCGGGGCAGGATGCGGCGGGAGGCCAGGATCAGGACGTGACGGTCGGAGAACTTCTTCTCGAGCTCACGAGTGAGGCTGGATTGAAAGGACGTGTTAGCTTTTCTGAAGCGTGGTTCATGGGGGGGGAGGGGGATGAACATACCGCTGCTGGACGCGGTGGAAGCCCTGCAGGGAAGGGACGGGGACAAAGATGGCAATAGCCTTCTTGCCGTGGCCAACCTCGATCTGTAACAAGATCACAAGTCAGCATGCGAGCTCCAGGACAATGCCTTGGACCGCTTCCCGTCCTGTTCCTGAGAGATTATCATTCTTTTCAGCGTTCAAATCTCCGCCGCCACGGCAGCTGATGACAGCGAACACGCACACACACCCATCGAGACAATTCCTACGCGCGGGAGAGCATAGTGACGTTTCACGATTACAACGGCTTCTCCCTGCCCAATTCACCTCCGTCTCCTGATGTATTTCAATCGAGAAGAAAAGGGGTCGGGTTTTCATTGGCCTCGTGTGTGTGCGTGTGCGCGCCTCCCGGCCGCGGCGACTGGAACAGGATTTCGGTCTCCTTTTTCGGGGGATTTGAAAAAAGGTCGCGTGGTCCACCAAGGACTTCTGTTCTCTTTCGAGCTTCAGGTAGTTCTCACCTCGCGGGCAGAGACGATCTGCAGAGGGCGAAGGGCGACCTTGAGGTCGGCGGTGTTGCTCTCGAGGTCGTACAGAGCCTGGGCAATGCTCTGCTCGAGCTCGGAGGGGCTGGCCCGCGAGGGGCTGTTGGCAGCGATCTTGTTCAACGCGGGGCCGGACATGTTGGGCGGGCTTGGGGGGATGGTTGACGTTGGAGGGGTCGGGTTAGTTGTTGCTCGAGCGGACGAAGTCGAGAGGAAAAAAAAAGTTCAAGAGACGGGGGAAGAATCGCGATCCGAAAGTTTTTGCGATTGAGGGAGACGGTGGGCGGGGCCCGGTGGGTGATTGGGGCTTGCAAGCCCCTGGTGGTCTGTGCTTCTGACGTCCTGCTCGCTTCTGTTCCTCGTGTCTCCCAATTGGTCCTTCGACGCTTGCTGGATCCACCCGTCTGTTTCTACGCTATCCGCTTTTTGGTCTCCAGCCGCAACTTCATCTCACATGGTTTAAGGGCGTATAAGAGATCGTGGGCACGCCTCATGTACTATGGGTTGGCACATAAACTAAGTTCTCCCTGTCATAAATCTGTATACTCCGGGGTTTTTTTTCCCACTTGAAAATAGTGCAATAGCTCTTTTCAAGTACTGACGTGAGGCAAAACGCCCAAACAAATCAAAATTGGTTGATAAAGTCACCACAAGTATCAGACTAGACCTCAAATCTTGCTTTTCTTTTTGTGTTGCGGCCTAAAAACACGTTCTCAGTACAGTCTATAAATGGTTTCTTCATGACTTACCATTGGGACTCAGGGTAGACTGGCCGCATTAGGGCGAGCGGTCGCGCTTGGCTATTAGAGTAAAACTAATGACCAGATATGATAAATCTAAAGAATTAGCAATGCCGGAGCATCTGATACAATTATCTAGTCTACACGATCCAAATATCCGGGTTACGGCATTCCTATCAGGAGCTATAAGGGATTGCCGACGAAGTTATTTGCATCAGTAACAGGATATTCGTTTACAACATTCTTTAATCATTGTCCAGTTGTTAGGAATCGTAGCGCAAAGAAACAAAAAACCAAGGGGAATTTAATTAGGTCATTAATGCATCTAACACACTCGTTCTCGGTCGTCACATAGAAGTTATCCTCCTTACTGGCAATTGAAACCGCAAACAGTGTTCACAGCGTTACCGTAATTGATAGTTGACTGTTGAATTTCAGCAAAGACATTGACATGGCTCACCCACTACTTTCAGGCGCCTCCACCTCTTCGCTACTGTTCCTGAGCTGATCCCGATCTGCAGAGGAGCTATACATAAAGTCGCCCTCGCAAGGCGTTTCGCGGAAGGAAGCTGTGCAAATCTTGGGTTGACGGCTCCCGAGAAAAGCACCTGTTACCTGGTGGAGAGGCTACACCACCAAACCTCTGCCTATGTTTCCAACTGACTAACGTGTCCTGGTTTATAAGAAGTTGGAGCTGACATGGCGAAGGTCATGATGATGTAACACTAGTGACACGAGATGGATGAGCCAGACCGGTCGCCAGGCGTCATTTCGTAGAGAATAATGAGATGATTTCAGTCTCAGAGGGCTCATAACTTCCAACGAAGAAGATCACAATTTAACATTCATGTCAGGCTGCCTTGGCTTTGGGCAACGCGGGTCAATCGGGCCATTCACATTCGGCCGCCTTACACCAAAGTCGTGACACAACCAAGGCAGGCTATCCACATTGGCACCATGATGCCTCCGGTCTTACGTAGTTGATCGGGGCAGCTTTTTATTCCTTTTCACGGAAAATCAGGCTCGCTGGCAGCTTCTACATGACCAACACCCATTCATCGGCAGGCCGACTTCACGTACAATGTCCCTCCTATCTAAGAAAGACGCATGCGGTAATAACCATGGGCACTGACTGGATAATCATGCAGTGGCTTTGTCGAATTGTCCCTGCTATTCAATTTTTGACAAGTATTTCCAGCAATATGACCGGGAGAGGGAGGAGCTGGTTCTTGCTCAAAGAAACCATGGAAATACAGGAAGACTACGAGATTGTTAAAGTTGCCTTCAAAGCAATGACCAAAGTCTTTGATCAACCTTCCTTGGAGGTGTTTGTTTCTATGGCTAAGTGGATATAGTACTTTTATGAAGATATTAGTCACTACTGTGGTTTGATGCACATTGACCCCGACGAGCGTCAGTGTTTCTCGTAGTCGTACACGCCTTTCCAGCCCAAACTCGAGAAGTCCCCCCGTTCAAGCATGAAAGGCTCCTCACATCATGTTCTGATGAGCCTGCTGGTTCCTCTCCTGTCTGTTCAGCTCTTTGCGGAACACGTTGTCCCCGGACAGCGTGGGCGGCTTCGGCGGCGGCGGCATCATCTCGACGCCGCGATCGGGCGACGAGAAGGCGCCGCCGCCCAGGCCGAGCTTGGCGTCCACGGCCCGCTGGCCGCGGCTCTGGCCGATGCCGTAGCCCCGGCCGCGGGAGCTAAACATGCCGCGCCGCCGGCCGTACCACCACATGAACCAGCCGATGCCACCGAGCGCCAGCCCGCCCAAGACGAGGGGAAGAACGATGGCGAGGACGTTGGGCCCGCGACGGCCCCGGCCTCGCTCCCCGGAGCCCTTGCGCGACCGGTTGACGACACGCACGCGGGGTCCGCCGTGGCGGCCGGTGATGGTGCCGTTGTTGGCGGTGACGGCGAGAAAGAGGCGCACCTCGAGCGCCTCGTCGGGGTCCATGTCGTATCCTGCGGCGGCCCAGGCGAAGTGGCCCTGAGAGGCGGGCAGCAGAAGCGAGGTGAAGCCGTGGCCGGGCCCGATGGTGTCGGTCGCGTTAAAGTCGCCCTGGATCTGGATCATGGTCTTTGGGGAGGGGAAGAGGGCGGTGTCCCAGGTGACTGGGGGTAGGGAGGTTTCTTGTTAGCGACCATACCTATACGAAACAGCGTGTAATTCAATGAGGAAGGGTGCTCACTCCAGTACGTCTTCCCGCCGTCCAGCTCGCTGTCTACCTTCGGGGAGCAAAAGGGCTCGTCGAGGCCCCCGGAGCCGGCGGCCTGGTTGCACAGGAGAAAGGTCCCGGCGCCCTTCGCGTCAGCCGTTGGCGCAGTCGTGCTGCCCGGAAAGGCGGACGTGGTCTTGCCGTCCTTGATGGTGGGCGTGATCGTCTGGGAGGTGCCGTCGGCGGCGACGGTCACCCAGGGGCGGAGCGCCTCGTTGGTCTGTCGGGCTTGGATCGCAGCGTCGGCCGTCTGGGACAAGGCCAGAGCCGTGATGGCAGCGAGGCCGAGGCCCTTTGGAAGCCTTCCGAAGATCATGATAGGCGGGAGAAATCGTTTACCAGAACGAGCTGGGCTTTTGCAAAATGTGCCAACTGGTGGCCGTTTGGCGCGATGAAGAGAGAGAAGAGGAGAAACGAGGTTCGCATCAGAGGCCGCGGGAAGGGACGAACGGCTTGGCGAGTGAGGAACATGGCACGGTTTTGTACCCGGAAAAGCCATAGCACTGCAGGTGCGAGACGAAGGGAAGATGCGACGAACGCTTTCGCATTTGCGTGGTGCCGCTCACGGGACGCCTTGTTGTCATGACCTTTTGAAACCTTGTGTGATTCCTTTTTGCCCCCATCTCCTGGGCGGACGTACGAGCTTCGCGGGTGCCATTGGCAAATGCCTCTCTGCATGTGCCGATAACCTGTCAAACGGTTTGCTGGTTCCACCGTCGCCGAATCCTCTCAGCATCTTGGTGCCGTGGGAGCCTCGGGCATCACCCTCGGCTCTAACAAGCCTGGTGAGTCGATCTGACAGGACAGGACAGGACAGGGCAGGACAGGACAGGACAGGACAGGATACCCAGCAGTAGCCGCGAGAATAGAGTATCTAGTCGTGTCGGCCGAAGAAAGGGCGAACAAGACGTCGGTACACTGACGTGACATGCAGGGGGCCCTCACGACTCTCGGGGTTTCAGGAGACTTTGAAGCTCGTTTCCTGAGGTAGGGAAGAAGGGAGGGAGTGTGATCAGATCAAGCTGCGCAGAGGTAGTCGTTTACGTTCCCGCTGCAGCGCCGGGACATGTGAGCGCGCTGCAACGAGCACGAGTCCCGATGGTGCCCGTTGGCGTCCTGGAGATGGGTTGGAAAATGGTTCGGGCTGGGCTGACGGCAGCTTGTTTCTAGCAAGGGTGAAGGGCGAAGGGCGGTAAGTCAAAGCACCCGCTTTCCGATCACCCCCACTTTGCAATCACCTATTTACACCAAAACTGCTCTTTTTCACTATAGCTTTAACTATATAACCCTAGTCTTAATAATTCTAAGAAAATTATCATATATAAATAATTATATAAAAAGTTTATATACTAGTTATATAATTTTTTTACTAAGTATAGGTAAAGTATTAGCTACTTAAAGCTAAAGTAGTAAAAGTGTTAAGGTTTTAGTATATTTTACTAGTATTTCTTAATAGTATTAAAATCTATATAACTTTAGAACTATAAAGTAAAAAAACCTATAATACTTTATATAGTTACTTTATAATATAAAGTATATATTTACTAGCTTATACTATAGACTATACTAGCTATACTATAGTATATACTTAAATATAAAATTTACTAAGAAAATTTTATTAGAGAAATTTTAATTTACTTATATAAGCTTATATAAGACTATATATATTATATAGAAAATATAACTACTTAATATAGTAAATAATATAGCTATTTATAAAGTTTTAAGCTTATACTACTAGTAAATACTAAGTTATAGCTAATAATAATTTACTAGTATTTTAGTATATCTTTATATAAAGCCTTATATCTTAAGTTATACTAATAGGAATATAGTAAAAAACCTAGTATAGTAAAAGTAAGTATATAACTAACTATAGAAATTTTTATAGAATTAAAGAAGCTAGGGTTATACTATTATAGCTATAGTAAAAAGGAGTAGTTTTGGTGTATTTTAGTGTATTTTGGTGGGGAATAGGTGATCGCCAAGCGGGGGTGATCGGAAAGCGGGTGCTTTGACTTACAGCGGTCGGGGCGCCAGGACGCTGGGGCCTCGTGCGCTTGACTTTGATCCCCTCAGGGAAGCAACCCGTTGGCCGTCTTGGGATGGGGGCAAGTATCATCTGCAAGGCTCGGCACTTTGACAAGACTCTATTGGGATGGTTCAGACGTTACGGAGGGCTTGAGGGGCGGGGCCGCGGTGGACCGCAGCCCCGGGATGGTCTCGTGACATGCCGAGATCGGGATATATGGGGCCCTGATCCGGAGGTGTACGGGGAGGGGAGGATAGCGGCGCCGGGCAGCCCGGGGGTCGGCGTGGGCTTTGTGAGGGTGCGGATGTAGAGGTGGGTGATGATGGCAGTGATATGTATAGGTATGTAGCTAAGGGGGTTCTCGTAGGTTTGCAGAGGTACACAACAGTGTTATCATTCAACATGATGGAAGGTTTCGGGGATTCCGCCGTGGGTGGTCTTGGCTGACACGGCTTGGCGCTTGCGCGTGGGGACCTAAGCTTATTCGTCTGGATAATACCTACCTAGATGGACATGGATGAACATGCATGATGCTAAGTAGGTGCCGAAGAAAGAGGCCGGGTTGTATTACTACCATTGTGTACCTATGCGACCCTAAGTAGGACCACCTGGACAAAGTGTCTTAGAATGAGGCCGGGTTATAGCCAAGACGGTCGTTAACGGCACTGCCCGTTGCATAATGATGTTTCGTTGCCTGCAGCAGATACGGCTTCTGCAGGGGGTGTAACCCTAACCCTAACCCTGAAGCTGGTTGTAGGTGTCTCTGCCATTGCCGTGGGGTTCACCATTGTGCGCAAGCTCAGCTCAGCTCAGCTCAGCTCAGCTCTTTAAGTCTACAAGCTCTCCAGCTACTGAGCTTTCAAGCTCTTGCTCCCTCCCCCACCTTGTGCCAATCAAGGTCAATCATCGTTTCAAATCACGAGCGAGTGTTATATTTAGACGTCCAGGAGCTCTGCCTTTTGTTCGTCCGTTTCGTCAACTTTTACATCCCGAAATGCACCGCTCAGCCCCAGCCTTTGCACCCCACCCGTCGATGACGATCTTGGCCGATTTCAGAGGAACCCAATCGAGCTCCATCCCCCCGGTCACCGTCTCCTCAACAACCCACCCAAGGAAAGCAAAGACAATCAAGATACTCCGTACACATAGAGAAAAGAGGCTGCACCGTCCCCGCCCTGTCTTGCAGCGCAGTGCGTAGTGTCTTTCCCCCGTCAATCAAATTAGCGCGCGATCGCCGGACGTTCCCAACAAATCCTCCGTCGGTTTGCGAGTACTGCATCAGTGTGTGTGTGTGTGTATCTATACTTGGACGGATTTGTACTTTGACGCAACTGTACTCGGACTTGACTGGGGGGTAAAACAGAGACATTTCTTGACTCTTGGCCTGTCATTTGCTACTCCAACAAAGCCTCCGCTTACTGACCTGCAGTAGCTTCTCTCTCTCTCTCTCTCTCTCTCCTTCTTATCACTTTCCCCCTCGGACATATTGCATTCTTTCCCTCATGTTTAAAGCTCGCCCTGCCCCGCGCTTCCTTCTCTCGGCTGCGCGACATCGTCATCCTCTTCTCCTCCCACGACTCATCCCATTCGGAGCTCAGCTTCAACACCACCACCACCACCACCACAACACCCAACAGACCTCTGCCTTTTCCCACTTCGCCCCCCGGCACGCCTCAAACAGACCCAATCCCAAGATGGCAGGCGAAGATATTGAGCGGTACCTCAAGCAGACGCACGACCGCGTCTTCGACAACAACCGGCGCTGGGCCGAGGACAAGAAGAAGCAAGACCCCAACTTCTTCGTCAGCCTGTCGCAGGGCCAGGCCCCCGAATACCTCTGGATCGGCTGCAGCGACTCCCGCATTCCCGCCGAGCAGATCACCGGCCTCGAGCCCGGCGAGGCCTTCATCCACCGCAACATCGCCAACATGGTCAACAACATCGACCTCAACGTCATGAGCGTCATCAACTACGCCGTCTGCCACCTGAAGGTCAAGCACATCGTCATCTGCGGCCACTACGGCTGCGGCGGCGTCAAGGCCGCCATGACCGCCAAGGACCTCGGCCTCCTCAACCCCTGGCTCCGCAACATCCGCGACGTCTACCGCCTGCACGAGGCCGAGCTCGACGCCATCAAGGACGAGGACTCCCGCTACAACCGCCTTGTCGAGCTCAACGTCATCGAGCAGTGCCGCAACGTCATCAAGACCGCCGACATCCAACAGTGCTATGCGAAGAACAAGTATCCCATTGTCCACGGTTGGGTCTTTGACTTCCACGACGGCCTCCTTAAGGACCTCAAGATCGACCACGAGGCCGTGCTCCACGAAATCCAGAAGCTCTACCACCTCCCCGGCGCCGACTTTTAGGTGCCCCCGCTGCCACGAGGGGACATTGAGTGAGGGGCGCCAAGGGGAAAGGAAGCTTCACCGTGGTGACTCCCCAGCACTATGCAATGCTGGCTTATTTCGTTTCGCCATGGACAAAATTTTCTTGTTGAGGGCCACTGGCATCCTCACGCCCCGTCCGCCAGATCCGGAAGGGGATTGAGACACTGCTTTGATCGAGACATGACTACATGACGCCAATAGTGGTAAACCCCCCCACACGTAGCTCCCCCTCTAATCTGGTTTGGCTTAGTGGAAGTGTCAAAAAATGCCGGGCCCCGCTGTCGTGCATTTCCGCGCGTCAAAGTTTTTGAGAGAGAAGGGGGGGATAGAGGTTCGTTATCGCGAGCTGTCACCGGCGGGGCTGTTTTTTTCTTTTCTTTTTCTTTTTTCTTTATTTTAGTTCCACCATCGGAGTTGAGGATTGAGTTTCCCCCTACAAATGGTGGTGTGGGAATGTTGGAAGAGGCGAAGCAGGCGTGGTGAAGAGGCGATGCAGGCGCAAGGAAACATGATTCTTCGGTGCGAGACAAGGTTTATTTCTTCAGCAAGACGAGTGGGACTCGCGGAAGGTAGAAGAAGAAAAAAGCAATCTTTCCAATGGCCACCGATGACCGTTCTACTGTATGTGTATTGATTGTGCCGCGAGCCCCATGCATCGTCCATCGCAAAGTCAAATCGCATCGCACCCAAATGCTAGAGTCACGCCAATATGAATGCCAATCTCCAACCCCCCTACCCCCTCGTCTCCTCCTCCAGCTGGATGATGTTCCTATCGCCGCGCTCAGTCAAGTATCTGGATAGCTTCCGCACCTCGCGACTCACCACGAACAGTTCCACGCATGCCTGCCGTTCAGGCTCTTGCACATGGCCCGGCTGCCCACGTTGTCCGGGGCCACATCGGCCGATGCCCACCCGTCCAGCCCATAATGGCCGGTGCCCGTCTTGAACAGCCGCGCGGCGAGGGCCTTTGCGTACCCTCGTCGGCGGTACGGCGGCTACACAGACGGCGATGAGCAGATGCGTGAGACGACTGGGCTGCGGGGCCTTCGCCAAAAAATAAAATAAAAAAAATAGATCGACTTACCTCGCAGTGAAGGCTAGACAAGGAACCGTCGGTACCTTTGGAGCATTGTGAAGTCAGCCGCTTAGCACTGTACTTGGGGATGCAGATATGTCCTCTCGGGGATGAAAACGCACCCAAAAACGACCACGCGATCGGCGTCTCGTCCGCCAGCCTGAGAACCAGGCTTGGGAATGTCATAAGGGTTTTGCTTTGTCTCCATGCGTCAGCCGCGCATCCTTTTTACACACACAAGTGCACAAAATTGCGAAGGAGAGTCAAAGGACCCCCCCCCCCCCCTGCCTCTTCTCGAACTTACACCTGGCGAGGGATCTCTGTCCTCGCGATCACGACCTCGCAGTCCCGCTCCGTCGCCGGCCCCCACGTCGCGCCCTCCGGCAGCGCCGCGTCGGGCTCCGGCACATCCTCAACCTGGAACAGCCACTTCTCGTACTCGTACGATGCTCGCGGCCGCACCGTCGCGCCCCGCCGAATCATCACCGCCCTCGTCGCCGTCGCCAGCGTCCCTACGAGGCAGGCCCCCGGGTAATGCGCCCGGCCGCCGTCCGGCTGCTCTCTGCCGACCTGCCGCACCGCCTCGAGCGCCGCCATGATCTGCAGCTCGGCCGTTTCCCTCTCCTCCTCCTCGCAGGGGATCGCGGTGCCGTGCTCGTCCTCTAGAGTCGAGTACATGAACAGCTGGGTCTCCTTGTCGCTGCCAAAGTCCAGGTACGCGACCGTGAAGTGACGCGGCTGTGGCGGCGACCCCGACTCAGCGCCGGAGCTAAGAGGGGCGTCGGAGGCGAAGATGACGCGCGCCGTCGGGCGCATCCCGCCCTTGAAGCCGGTGAACTGCAGCCGGCGGAGGACGGGGAGTGAGTTCGGGAGATGCGTCTCCAGGAGTGGTACGAGCCCCTCGGGCACGGTCGTGTATATCGCGGCCATTGGTGGTGGGGGGGCTCCGATGCTGCCGTTTAGTTCCGAAGTGGCGAGGGATAACAGTATGGCGTTGTTGACGGTGGATAAGCTGCGTTGAGGAGAGGGTTTCCCGGCGCAGGTTGCCGAGATGTGTGCTTGGGGAATCAAATGTCCATCGGGGGAGGGTGGGGAGAGACCGGAGCATTACAACGGTCATTATGGCGCAACGCGGTGAGTCAACTCAGCCCGGCTAGGTGACTCACGCTGAATCGGGGTTTTCGGAGGGGAAATCAATTGGAAAACGCCAGTTGAAATATACCAGTCAATTCAATGACATGCGAAGTTGGAGTGGATGATCCAGACGGCCTATGTATCTACGGCGAGGGGATTTCACACCGCTGCCACCGCCAAAACACAGTAATAATCATAGTCCATAGGTTTTGTTTTGGTTTGGGTGGCCAGTATTAACCCAAAAATCCATGACAAAGAACAGCCTTGATTCCATGGCCACCGTAGAAGAATGGTTTTCCCTATCTCAATATCTCGATGCAGTTTTACACCTGGGCAAGTCGTATATCAGTGTTTAGAGAAAAGAGGCTTGAAACTCTTAGGGGAGTTGACTTTCGATGCTGAACCTGCACGGATGCAATTTCCGTAAACGTGTAACTCAAATACCCTGCGTATGCACCACCCCCACATTTGCACCACTCCAAAACAGTGGATTCCCACCAAAATACACTATGTTTTCTAGCCTTAGGAATCTACTATAGTTAAGCTATAAAATTTAAGAAAAAAATCTTATAAAATACTTTAGTTCTATTAGTATTTTCCTATATATATATACTATTTTTAGACCTTTATATAACTAAGTACTAGTAGTAAATACTTAAGGATTCTTTTTTACTAAGAAAATCTTAGTATTTTCTAAAACTCTAGAAATCTTAATAAATACTTATATAGTAAAGCTAAAAATCTATAAAAAATAGTATAAGCTTTATTATAGCTTATATATATATAAGAGTACTATATATAGTATATATAGCTACTATATATAGATTTACTTACTTTTTATATAGAGTATAAAACTAAAAAAATATATTTTTTAAAATATTTAGCTATATATAAGAGATAAAATTTTTTTTACTTATACTATATACTATAGTACTAATATACTACTTAGTATATAGAAGGTTTACTATACTATATAATAATAGAACTATAATACTAAGTTAAAGTAGTAATAGTTATACTTTACTTTTAAAAAATCTTTTAATAATAATATTATAAGTTATATAACTTAAGATATATACTATACTATACTACTTTTTAAGTAGATTCTTATAATATACTTTACTAACTTATATTTATAGTATATAATATAAAAAAGTAGTAAATACTTAAAAGTATAGTAGTTTTATTATAATACTATAGCTATTATTATATATATAGACTATTATTTAGTCTTTATAAGCTTAGTAATATACTTTTATAGTAATATAATTACTTTAGTATTTTACTATATTTTTATCTAGTTTTTTAGCTACTTATACTAATTTATATTTTATTTTTTAATAAATACCTTTATTTTAAGAATTAACTTTATTTATTACTTATATAAAAAGCTTAGTAAGCTAAAAAATGTTCTAAAAAAATCTTTTTACTTTATATTATGCTATATATAAGTTGTTTACCTATAGGCCTAGTAATATAGGTAGTAAAAGTAGGAAGAAAGTGGTAGTGCTAGTGGTGCAGATGTGGGGGTGGTGCATACGCAGGGTATTTGAGTTATATGATTACCGAAGACAAAAACCCTCGTAAAAACGGCGCTTTATACACCTATCGATGATCATAATCCTCGCGCAAACACATCTCAACAGATCCGACATGAACGCGGCAGCTCGGGGCCGAATTTGAAATAACATGAGTTCAAAGCATAGTTCACAGGTGTTGGCCATGCGCATTCGGTCATTGGCTCACTCAAGGACCACTGCATTTCCGTCCCTCGAAAAACGACGCGCCCCACACGGGGAAACCGCTCAGTGAAAATCTCAAAGCCGCTCGTCTTCCTTGCCGTCCCGACACGGCCATGAGTTATCGCCTCATCGTACCGCCTATCCCAATTCCCCAGTGCCTCCGAAACATTCGTGCCAAACATGTCTGGATACGACCGTGACGTTGTCGTTGACTGTCTCAAGAGGCACTACGAGCTGTTGGTGCGCATGGGTTACATGGAGCCCGAGGCCGTCGAGCTCCCGCCCGCCGGTGGCTGGACCGACGCCGAGCTCCGCGTCGACGCCCTCCGGGCCATGGGCCGGTCCGAGGCCGTCATTGACTTGCTGCGGCACATCCCCTACGTCCACGAGAACGAGGACGCCGACCCCGTCGAGATCTACACCGAGACTTTCCCGCTCCGGTACCTGCGCAGCGGGCAGTGGTTCGGCGGCAATCCTGGCGAGGACCTTGCCACTACGCCCCTCCTCGACCTCGGTTTCGCCCCGTTCGACGGGCCCGTGCCGGCCGACATGGTGTCGTTGACGCACGCCGACGAAGGCACCTGGTGGCTGGTCGACACCAAGGAAGGTGAGTTTCACGGCCGTGCGTTTGCAGCGGCATTCTGCTTGGAGACTGATGCCCCTCTGATCTGACGAAAAGGATGCATCTATCCGTACGGCACCGAGTTCGACAAGAGCGCAGACGAGGTCCCCCACGACCAGCAATGGCGCGCGGTCGACCCGGTGCCCATCCAGGCTTACTTTGACAACATCTATGCCCAGATCGGCAACTTGGAGGTCGTGCCGGCGCCCCGCTCTGGCAAGTGGGAGGCCAGAGTCGTGGAGGAGTACACCGAAGAGGGCCAGGTGAGCTGCCCGTCCCCATCTTCGCGTGACCATGTCAAACCTGTAGGAATCTTTTAATGTTCTAACCCATTTCGCCACCCGAAGGAGGTCAAGCGCTTGTACGCCGAGTTCGGATGGCCGGATGCATTCCGTCGAGAGGAGTTCAGGCAGGCGATCGAGAGAACCCGCGCAGCGGCCATCGAGGCCGGGCTGGGAAACGATAACGATGACGACGACGAGGATGAGGAAATGACCGGTTAGATTGGTACGAAAAAGCGGTATATAGCATAGTAAAAGAAGACTCGGTTGCATGAATTGGCCAATGGAAGAGCCCAATTGATATGCTCCGAAAGCGCACTGGTAGCCCTTTTCTCTTGCACCTCTTCCGAAGATAGACAGATGACATGAGAGCCATCACAAGGTAGGGATTGGGCCGGATATCGGATCGCGGAAGACGCCCACGGATACCATGTCTCTATGCTGTCTTCTTATCCGTGTGTAGTCGGCCTTTTGTTGTCCTATCTAATGAAGCGCAGCCAACTTCAACTCCATAACCCCAAGCCTAAAGGAGTTCTGTCAAAAAGGACAAGGAATGACATTGAGGGGGGTTTTGACGAGCGGCTTATTAACAGACCTGATTGTTTATATCCATTTTATCAGTTGGCGTTGTTTCTTCCCTCTAACAAGAGTGTCTCAACTACCTCACTCGCCGACGTGCCAACCTGAAAGCTGCGCTTCAACACTAACAACTCATGGCCTGAGTGGCGCGGCATCCCCCACGGCTCCGACACCAAGTACACTTGGGACGAGCCGGCCGTGCAGCACCCCGAGGTCAGCCACATCTATCACGGGTACCTGTCCAGTTTCGTCCTGTCCGGCGACCCCAATACGCATCGGTACCCCGGGAGCCCTGAATGGCACATGCACAAGCCCGTCGGGTACGGGCTGGACTCGGAGCCGGCGCTCCAGCTCGTCGTGCAGCCCGAGAACAGCACCAGGGTCGAGAAGGACGATATCCGCAGGGAGGCATGTCTCCACTGGAGAGACCCGGAAAGAGCGTCCCGCTTGAACAAGTAGATGTATAGAACCGAGATAATGCGTGCATATCAATTGATAACCGAACGATTGACAGAACGAGTGACGATTAGAACCCCTCCAAGCATCGATCTCTGGGCCAACGGATGTGCCTTCATATTACTAAGCTGAAGACGTGCTCCAAGCCAAAAGCTGGCCGAGGAAACCTGTTGGAAAACAGCCCTTGGGGACGAATCAAAACAAGAGAAGACGGACGAGACTCCGGGTTGCCGTCAGTATGTTTTGCGGAGTATTCACTTGATACGTCATATGATAGCCTTTTACAACAGTGTTACAATACGGCATTGAGCCAATCTTGTTAGAGTCAAGACGTACGCGGGATCCAGCATTGCCTCGGCGAGTTCTGGAGTTGCCTGGCCTGTCAAGCGGCATCATCCGGACGATGCCTCCAGTAGCTTAGGCGTCAACCGATTGACAAGACCCGAAAGCCATCACCCCACGTCATCTTCGGTCTTGCGACGAGCGGCAATTCCCAGAAGAACACCTCACGCAGTGAACTCCGCATCTTTCAGGGAGACCCTGGAGGAAACCCTGGGAATATTGATAGAGCTTACTGGAGTAGCTGCCGAAGTCGTTGTTACAGCACCTTGAATCTGAGGAACGACTGTGGCGTACGAAATGCCGGTGCCGGTTCATAGCGTGATGGGCTTTGTACCATCCGGTTTCGGTTTCGTCAAGTCGAGGAAAGGGAAGACGACCCTTTTGCACAGCCACCGAAGGTCCGACAGCGAGAAAATTATCAAGGAATCACACCACAAGTGGGAAAAGTCAATGATTATCTGTGACATCAAGTCCTGCGCTCTGACAAGAGGCAAAATACAGGAGGTCCAGCTGAATTGCCGGCTGCTAAGTTCTTCGAATGTCCATACTTCAAAAGGGACCCAGTCAAACATCTGAAGTGCTTCATGCGATTCAAGTTGAAAAGGGTCAAGGACGTCAAGCAGCACATCTACAGAAAGCACAGCTTATCAGAGCACTGCTCTCCATTGTGCTGGGCAACTCTCGATTGTCGTTCTGACTACAATGGCCATATGAGAGATCGATCATGTCAGGCAAAAGAGATGCCGCAAAAATACGGAGACTCCGTAACGATCGACCAGAAGAAAGCCATCAGCAAAAGAACAGATAGTGGCCTAGACGAGCACAGACAATGGTACAACGTCTGGAAGGTCTTGTTTCCCAACGAATACCAACCGGCCTCACCGTACCTCAAATCGACAGAACTTGAGGAATTGATTCCGATTATCAGATGGGGGTTTTTTTTTTTTTTTTTTTTGAAGAAGAACAGTTCCGATATTGTTTCCAACACACTCTCTTCGCCTCAGATCGCTATCACCCCTGGGGCTACGAACATCTCACCGACTGAATCGGACCAGGTAGCAAGGGCAGATGAAGGAGCGATTATATTGACAAATACGATTGATATACTGCTTGATCGAGTGGAAGAATCCATTCGGTTGTTCGGGCGATGCGGATCACCTTCGCCACCCGTCTCAGCCTTTGCCAGGTCGCCACTACTGTCCGAAACAGGCATCTTGGGGCCAACGGAAGATAGGTTGGCACCTTCTTTCGTTCCTGAAAGTGGACACAACGAACCCCAAGACGATCCAAGTGCACTACAGCTGTCCGCTGCTGAAGACCCAACCGAAATTGCGGGGATAGACTTTTGGGATCACAATGTAATGCTTGGTCTTTCCTCGACAGAGCTCTTAGGTAGTTACAAGTTCCCGGGGACTTGCGAGTATCCCGGAAGCTTCTTGCCTGAATGAACTAATCTCGACGAAGTCACTGATAGTCAAGTGATGTACAAATACAGCGGTATCAGATCTGGGTGCTCTCAGTTATAGCGAGTAACGTAATCTTGTAGTATGACTGTATCACGGAGCAGGCCTTCTTAGGGGGTGATTCACGGAGTTGAAAGTGGCTTGTTTCTTCTATATACTGTTATAGGAAAGGTCGTTCCTAAATACTGCTTCGTTTCTAGGCCCACGGAGCGAAGCGGGTCGATTCGGAAGACGGTGTCGCGCGGCAATGTTAGTGCCCAACCCACAGTACGGTTCTGTGAAAGACGGTGTCTATGGTACAGATGTATGCGTTTGCGAGTGATAAAAGCAATGAATTGATCCTTGAGATGAAATGGTTACAAATTCCGTTATTACACTAGCTTCTAACATGTGCCAACAGTCTTGGTGCGTGTCTTGTGAAAACTCGGACGAGAAATTCAACACATACCATGTGGAATACAACCGGGCTTGGAAAAAAAAAAACCCCGTTCTTGGAGTTGCAGAATGAGGAATGCCAATAATAAGATCAATTGCCTAAAGTTGACTTTTGGTCGCGTGTTTGAGGCGGGTATGATAGATGTCGTATACCCGACGACCGAAAGTTATTGATAAGCCCAATATTGGTCTTTGTACTAGAAATGCAAGATATATGAACCGATATGATAGCCTCAATTCATCTGCTCAAACGATTTCCAATCCTTAAACTCCGTAGGGTATCATAATATGCCCGAACTGTTCATTAAACATACCATGCCACATCTTGGTCATGGTCTCTTGCTGTACTGCTAGAGTCTGGGCGACTAGATAAAGACTGTCTTGTCATTTCCAACCCAGTCAGGTTCCCAGGCTCTGTAAAGTGACGACGAAGCCAACGAGGGCGATTCAAAATCTCTGATGATTCCAATAGTCTCAAATCTGAATCTGATTGGGAATCAAGTTGAGATCCTGCTCCGACAGACTGTCCGGTTAGCTCCGCGATAATTTGTTCCGACAGAGCACTGTTTGAGCTCAACATGTCTCGCCTGCCTAAATATGACAGTGAAAATCTCCTGGACCCAGGGGATCTCACCAAAGATTCGTCCTTGTTCAAGTCTGGCGTGATGTCATTGTTATCGCCCCTCGGTTCCAGATGGGGATTCATCGGGTGTGAAGCCTTGACGATTTTTGCAATAAGGTCTGCCATGCCCATCTCGATGTGCAGCTTAAGCAAATAGGCAAGGGGGTGGAATTGAGCGTAACTAAATCTATTAGTGAGAGTTCTGATGTACGCTCCAGGCAAAACCTACATCAGCGTGTTGGGTAGGGACATGAGCCCTATAATAATAATCTAGAACATGAGGTAAGCTAGTGTCAGTTACATAAAAGCATGAAAGTAGTAGGCTCACGTCAAGTGATATCGATATACCAATCATGGCCAAGTTGAATCTGAAAAGTACAGTGTACTTTGTCAGGCCGCTTGCAATTAAGCGTGACTTGACAAGATAGATAAACGTCAAGTTCAAACCTGCATCAACAACAAGGAAGATTCCTTTTTCTACGCGATCCCATATTTCGTTAATTTGAACATATGTTTCACTAATCTGTAGCCGTGCTGGTATCCATATGCAGAAGACGCTGATATTGACGGCGAGCAGAATGGTGAAGACGGCCCATTTCAGTCGTATTGCATGGGAAGGGACCAGCATTAAGACCGCGATTCGATTGATGATGATTTGCATCAGGCATTGAACCTAACATACTTCAATCAGTCATAACCCAGCGAGAAATCGAATTCAATAAGTTTGAAGCAGCTTACCTGTATAGACCAAAAAACGACTACCGCGATATATTGGTGATCAGTTTCTTATCGAATAACTTGTCATTGTGGCAGCACTCACGTAACAAGAAGAAGTACTCGAAACTAAGCTAACGTTAGTTCAAGTTGCCATGTCAAGATGCACAAAAGTACATACCTTGGGTTGATGAGAGAGGTTAGATAGCACCATGATACGATACCAATTATCATACTAGCCATCCATTCCGTCCAGATGAGCCAAATATATGTGTTGACTCGGTGCGTCCTCTTCCAGCTGGCCATGCTTTGTTGATATCCCTTGACTCCGCTCCAAAGTCCAACTCCAAGGGTGAAACCCCACAACATGCTGACGATGTTTTGTTCTTCATTGGTAGACGTAGGTGCCTCAAACCAAGGGGGCACCAATGTTCCGGCCATCTTGATGTCAAAGGCTCTTTCTCATTAGACAAGCATGTACTGGAGCTCGACGTTGGCGAACCGCCTTCATCTCCGATGGTAGGGAGTCGTTGACGAGAAGGAAGACTAAGAATCTTCTGACGAAGTATTAGCTGGGGGGGGGCGGGCAATATGAAGAAACTGCGGCCCATCCTCTTTAGATCGTCGGAACTTCAGTGACCGCACAAAAATGTAATCCGAATGGCAGACTAGGAAAAGGTAATGGGCGGAATGAGGGGGAGGTCGGTAAGTGGGTACTTTGACTTAACCAGCAAACTTGGTTTTCAAAGTTGGTGTGGACGAGGGAGTAGCGCAGTGACGGCTAAGCCTCCCAATCACCGACCCGGGAACGTCAACGCTTGGACCTAGATTCTTTTCCTCGGATCCTGCAGACATCAGATAATGCCCAGTGTTCAGAACCCGCCTTTGTGGAGGGCAGCCAAACTCCCTTGCCAGATTTCGCATTTGTCTTCCGGCATTTGAACGGGAACCTTTTGAGGCGGGGCAGCCAGGAAGTGTGTTCCGATGATGAGAATACCTCCGGGAGCTTCGATCGCCACTCCGTCGCATACCAGAGGGTGGTAGCGATGATCTCCGAACAAGAACCGGTTCCCTCCCTGTAAAGGACAAGGCAGTTTGCCGCCCAGATCAAGGCACGGTCTGGCAGTTGGCAGTAGCTGCGGCTACTCAGCCGTGGATTGTTTGACTAGGTGAAGTTCGGACAAAGAACTAGCCTCCCAAGCTTTTTCGGGGGATCGAGTAATGGTGGTATGAACAATACGATCTTTATGACTCCGACTAAACCCTAGTGGTGTTTTGTTCGCTCAATAAAACATACTAAAGATCCACCCACCGGCCCAAAACCACGGACTGATGACAACGGGACAAGGACAAAAACAGCCTGCAGCCATGACCACGCGACCAAAGCCGCGACGTTGGGGAAGAAGCCGTTGTGGGCGCTAGGCTGAAGCTTTTCAAGGATATAGACAGACGCATAGGTTTCATGAGCCCTGGTCGGCGCCTCGGTAGTTCCATGGCACAAAGTAAGCCTCCAAGACGGGGAGCCAGATCTTGATCGGGGAGACGTAAACTTTCGTGTCGCAGGAACGTGCGTCACTTCAATCCAGATTGGAAAGTTTAAGTACCGAATCCGAGTCATCATTTCCCATTATCGTCACTGGGATGGGTCCACAAGGCTTACAAAGGGTGCGTCGCAAAGCCACCATTTGGTTGTACATGCCGTTTAAACGAGGAGAACAGCATGAGCAAACTTCAACCGGTTTGTTGGAGACAGATCGTCCGGCGAGGCTTCATTTGTTTCGTGTTATCTCATTTGCCTTGCGGTTTGATTTTCAGTCGCCTCAACCTCAGAAAGCTTTCCCCCGATCTTAGCGACACTAATGAAATCTGTTCACGGGTTGGCTTTGTATCATAGATATGATGTTGTGAGCCCATCTCTTGCAGAGGTTGAAGATGCAAGATTGCTTTGGCTCCATTGGGGGTTTTGAGTAGCAAGTTAGCAACTCGATAAGCTAATGTGACAAACTTGGAAGACATAGCTAATCTATGTGTGTCCTCCTTACGCCTGTACCCTGCATTCTTATTTACTCTAGATGACATCAGTAGCCAAGAGGTTTGTGCCCAAGGCGTGGTTGACTCCGTATGAATGAACATTGGCTATTGAGCGACTTTTTTATCGGCTCAAAAAAGGTGCGGACAGGCAAGCAGGCGTACCATTAAAACTGACCTGTGAACTGTTACAGTTAATTATGCCTATGTTGGCCCTCCTTTGGATTTCCGCGAGCCTCGGGGTCTTTCGAATCCACCCCAGCGTCTACGCTCAAAATTTGATGAGCGAGCCTTTGGAAATCCTTAAAGAAATGGCTGGTTCGTCTCTGAAAACATTTTCTGGGGCGCTCTCCTAGACCTCGTGATGCTCTCGGCACCAATTATATCTGCGTATATGAGATAGCCAACACAATGCTCAGGGTTTCATTAGCCGTGTTTAAACCGGCACGAATTGTCGCGACCAGCACATAAGTAGCGTGGGCTTGGGAAGCAGCCGGAATGTTCGACACCGCTAAACAAGGCTGGAGAAACGTACTATTTCTGCTGGGGATAGATTAATGTATACGAGCTATCATCTATAGCTACCCAATATTATCTGTTAGCACTATCCAACTTGAATATTTTCCAATGCAGGCGCAAATGTGTATGCCAAGAAACTAACTATATTTCGTATCTTCTCAAGCGCTCATATATAATTCCCAGGTAATATAGCTATTACCTCTTCACTTGGCCCCCAGAGTTCACCAGCCCGCCGAGTCGAGTATCCGCCGTGTCCGCCAGCACCCTTGCTCCCCACATCGACAACCCCGCCTTTGTCTATAACGACGACGCGGTCAATATCCATGATGATTTCGGGTCTGCCGCTGGCGGCGATCAACATGTAGCCCTCAAACTCGTCCTGGATCGTTTCCTGGATCGCCCACTCCTTGTCTACATCCATGCTCGAACTCGCCTCGTCGAGCCCCCCGCACTCTCGCACGAATCTCTACAGCATCACTGCAGCGAGAATAGCCTCACAATCCTCCGCTTTCAATTCACCCGCTGGATTCAGTTTGACTCGGAACCTGGATCTGTCTGGTAGGTGGACAGCCTTTTGGGACACCGCGATTATTCGCCAACGGAGCGTGGCCCGATCCACCTTGTTGAGTGCTGCCCCATTGAGCACCCCGTGCCCAGGCTTCGTCGGTAGGGGTAGGTGGAGCGTCTCTGCTTCAGAAGTCCTTTGGCTCAAAAGGTAAAGCGGGATACCTCCTGCTCGGTACCCATGTTTAGATTGCTGAAGATGTTGTCTAATACAAGAAGACTAGACTGCAGATGGTGGGCTCGCGCCAGGGAAATTCGTTATCTCAGGATGCCATACAGCGTACTCTCAAACCTGACAACTCTCCTCTCACCTTTTGCGAGGACACTGGGATAGTAGCCCAGAGCCATGGTCTTGATATTTTCGGCATATCCCTTTCCATCGAGGAAAGGAAAGCCGACGATGTCGTCCCTGATTGTCCTGTTGTTTATGACGGCTGTTTCATCGCAGGATTCAACTTGGTAACTATGCGTACCTAGTACGACACTGCCTTCGTCGAGGGGATCTCGCCAAGGAGCACCCTGCAAAGCTTGCCCGAGCCAACAGGTCCAACCACCGTGGTCAGAGAGTAATTGGCACTTCTGACATTAATATTTTGCAACTCCAACGTATCTACCTCTCAGTTAAAATCCCCGTTCTAGACAAGAATAGAAGGATATTCCGACTCGAGTTTTGCCTCAGGGGAAATATTTTCATTCCCTAGCACTATATCATCGAACCGGTGTTTTCTCTCGCTTATCCGGATGTCCGCAGCAGTGTTCCGGCCCGAAGACTCAGGCTTTAAATCTTATCTGCGGTCACCAAAAATTCGCCGAAAATCATGTCGGGTTTAACACCCGAAGACAACATGGATCCGGCCAATGCAGGCTAGACCGGAAATCATCTGAGAGAGAGCCAAGAATTGCGACAGGGGAACAGGAAGCAGCACAAATGTGAATAGAACTTCCTAATTCACATCAAGGACCGGAAAGTGCCCGGTTCCGTATTCAGTTTAGTCCATAAATTTATTTCTATACATGACTCACTTCAATGATGTAGTCTTTCACATGCATAGATCTTGGGCTGGCTATATAATACAGGGAGGGTGGCAGGGGAAAATTATTTCCCCCTCTGATGTTACCACCCATAGCTGACATCATGATAGAGGGGGAATGTTCACCAAAAGTGAAGTTCTGTAGTAGGGGGGTGAACATAAACCCGTCGTTGGTTCAAGACTGTAACACTGCTAGGTAGGCCTCCAAATCGAGTGGGAGGCGTAAGGTTTTGAGCACAACTGCGCTGTTAATAAGCTCAGACATCTACTCGACTTTTCGATTTGAATCCACCATTGTGCTACTGCCTTGTAAATGATTATCCCTAACGTCATAGGTCATTACTAAAGGGTGTAGCGGAGGGTTTGTGCTGGGAAGCCCAGGGCAACTTTACCCTCTCCTGGGCAATCGCTGGGAAAGGTGCAAGCTAGTTGGATCCTAGAGACTGCAGTATCGTGATCAGTGGTAGCTTGGATTTCTCGATTGCTCGCACGGCCGCTATCATCCGCCGAATCAGTCGTTACACTAGACGTCGGGTCTATATAGACAGAGTGTGGGACATGTTTCTCTTTGGTCAAGTGGTCACAACTTTCGGTACGATGAACACCATTTAGCCCTATTTCCTGAGGAAAACACAAGGATTGCCCTTTGATTTGGGAGAAACGATATCATATCTTGGTTTTGAACATTGTACAAATTAGATTCGGCCGTCTGCTCGTTATGTTCTCAGTATCGTGGTTTTGCTAGCTCAATTTGGTATTAGGCCGGTTTATTCATACGTTCAGTGCACGTTGAAAATAGTATCTTGATTTATCATACCAGCCTTGATGGCAGACATACATGTATGATTGCATGAGAATTCTTGCAGAGCACACACTATAATAGTCTCATCAGCAACTTGCGCCACACGAAATGTAGCGTTTGTTGTCACTGCGACCGCTTTCCATACGAGGCATAACGTACTCCTCGAGACTACTATTAATCGCGACGTCAGGCTATATCTCTCTTTAGATTATACATGTCATTTCCTCGTAAGGATTATATGACTTAATCAAACATCTGGACCTGAAAGATGGAACGCTATGAACATAAGCATAGTGAAAATTACTTCACCACTATGAGGTCATATCAAGTTTTACCGATGCGCACTTTGATGCTCAGGCCTGCGTGCGCAACGTGAATTGCCCAGAAAAGACATATAAAATGCGTTAGCATGGTGATCAAGCCCTGCAATCCTAAGTCGGTTTGGTCAAAGGTCACTGTGAGTATCTCGAAGGAATATACGAACAGTAATCAAACCACATTTGTGTAAAAGTTTTGCCAAAAATAGTGTGCAATGGCGAAGCAATCCTAAAGTCCAGAGCATTATCTTTGGGTAGCACACAGCCATGCAAAATGGAATACTTATGACACCAACAAGGCTACATGCTGTCTCTCAGATCTGCAGGTTAGGCAAGGCCTGTGTCATGACGCCGCAAGTATAATGACCTGGTATCATGACCAGCCAAGATTACTCGAGCAAATAATACGTACTACCCACATTCAGGCTGAACAGTCAGACGAGACCTAGCACTCCCTTCATCAAGAAGGACGCGCGCAGTTGCGCGGATCCAATTCCTCGGATGTGAGAGAGCTGCAGGAGCGTCCGCGCACAAATCATTGGTTGCGCGGGTTCTGTTTGCAAAACACTGTTGTGCCTGGTTATGTATGCGTTTGAGCCCTAAAGACCGAAAAACCACTATTGGCTGCGCGTTCTGCGTACTGGGGTTTCCCAACGGAAGAAGAGAGTGCTCTGAACCCAACAGTTGCGAAGGCTTGTGTTCGGGGAGCGTTTTGTACATTTTATAGGGCTTTGGGCTTCATTAAGATCAAAAGGCAATCAATTCGGTGGATAATTATGTTCCATTTTGAAGCCTGCTTGGTGATATGGGAGGGGTTCGCATGATTGGGGCTGGTGTGCACCATTCATCATGTCGTATTAGTGCATTAAGCACATTTGTGCCTGGCACATCTCATGCTGGTATCTGCCTGTCAAAACTGTCTTCTGACATCCCATCCCATCATGCTTACTTTCCCGGCCATCATTCACAGTTAGATTTAGGTCATATTGCTTGACTTCCCTCGTCAATAGTCTCAGGATTTTCAGGCTTTTTTACGTTTCTTTTATTATGAACACACTGCCCCCCGTTGACCTGTCTTCATCCACCAACTCGCGCCATGGGTATCACACTGCTCGAAATCGAATCCAAGAAATTCAAGGAGTTCGGTCAATGGAATACTACGCCTCCTTACGCAGCGATAGCTTTCCTGGGACATCTCGATCTGGACCTGGGCTCAAGAAATGATACCGGTCACTCCCAATGGATGTCTGAAAAGCCTCAACTCTGGCAATTGGATGTTGCATGCGACTTAGTTCGGGACCGAGGGCTTCGGTATCTCTGGCCAGATTATTGTTGTCCTGTCATGGAGTCCAGCAGACTTGCTTCCAGTCGGCTCGAGCACTTGGAAGCCTGTTATGAACGCGCTTGTTGGTGCTTGGTTTTCACGCCCAAGTCTTTGTACCAACATTTCCATTGGCACCTAGATCCCGATGGTCAAATTTCCGGCTGGCCACAAGTATCCCATAATCAGGGGAGTCCCATTGGACTACTTTTTGCATCAAGGAAAGAATGTTTTCGTCCAGGATATGGCACCAGGGACGAACAGTTCCTCTCAAGCCCACGTCGTATGATTTTGTTGCTTCTTGGAATGAATGCTGCCAGACTTCACGATTGTACCATTTTGGACGAGGAATCAGAAACTGTCACGTCGGTGATTAACGCAACAAGCAGCAATGGTCCATCAAAAACAGCAATGTTACCTCTGAGTTTAATGATTATTCAAGGCAATTCAGATAGTTACTATTACAATGGGGAGGAAGTTACTCACCGAAACCTTCGGGGAGAGCAGATGATATTGTGTAGAACCCCGGTTTGTCTGAGATTGGAGGTTTTGAGAAAACATCACAGACAACAATGGGCAATTTCATCCTCGCCGCATTCCGAAGATGTTGTTATAGGTCACTTCAGCTCCTTCGCCCAACAAGACCGGTCTTTGCTATCCATCATGGGCCTTCATGAACAGAATGAGGCTTCATCTACCTTCCGGCCACAATTGCAAAGTTCTATCACCGAAGGATGCGGAAACAGCAAACATCACGAAAGCTATCATCTATACCTATCGACCAGGGGAGACACTTGCTTTCAACGTTCTCTAACACACCAATCTGAAAGCCGGCCACTCAACGTACTGCGGGTGGAGCAACAAACAAACGTCAAAACTTTGTTACCGATGATCACATCCGGTGTCAATATGACTACAATATCTTCACTGCTGCTTGACTACCGACTTCAGCCTTATAAACAGGGCAAATTCAGCAACATACATTCGTGGCTCGACTCGACTTGTGTCAACCCAATGATGGAAGAAGGGGGCGAGTTATCAGAGCCACTGCCAACTATGGACCCTTTTGATGTAGGCGGCAACGACATGAAAGATTTGGAGGACAGGTGTTCCGAAACCACATCAAAGACGAAGTACCAATGGCAATCCTTGGACGAATGGGCACAGCTGAGCCCATCACTAGAACCCAGCCACCCACTATCCTTCTTTAAAGGCGCGCTGATCCACACGGCTCTGTCTAAGTATCTCGGTCAGAAGAAACGGCAGCAAAGACACAGTGGTCAACAGACCCGGGCTCCGGTATCCTCCAATAATCAAAAGAGGCTGGAAATAGCATGCCCATTTTACAAAGTGGATCCGTTCAAGTACTCGAGTTGTCTGAAAGGTGCTCGTCTACTGACTATTTCCCAAGTCAAAGACCACCTATTGAAACAGCATCGCATGCCTTTCTACTGCCCGGTCTGCAAGAGCGACTTTCAGACGGCTTCAAGCCGGGATAAACATATTATCAAGCGTTCCTGTGGTCTCAAGAAGGAATTCCCGCATGAAGGAGTCTCGGATGACCAGAGACGGTTACTGCTTCGTCGTCATAGACGGGTGGTACTGAAGGAGCACTGGCATAAGATATGTGTCCTTTTGCAGCTTGAAATCTCTCGGTCTGCATCACCATGTCTGATTGATACAACCATTGTCGCAAACGAAGTCATGGGATTCAGGAACTTTTGGCGGAAGTACGGACAGAGCTGTATAGCAGACTTCTTGTTGACGGTTAACCTGCAGCACTGGAATCGCCAGAGCGAGGAACGGGACCTGGCTTCTTTATACTCTGACATCTTGGAGGGAGTCTCAGAAACCATTATCCAATGGGGAAATACGGAGAGGCATCTTGGGTGCATCTCAAGGCAGTAGGGGCGGGAGATTCATCTAAGTATATGATAGGACAACAACATCAGAAACTCACGGTCGGAACAGACGGTATCGAGTGAGGAGAGAGAACAGTGGTCAATACCAGATATATCCATAAAGTGATGGTCTAGTAAGACGGAATCTCTTTCATGTGGAGCGAGAGCTAATTTCTTTCAGATAACCACTCTCAACCATCGTAAGGATACTTTCCGAAAACCACTGAGGACAGATGTTCTACTCGCCAGAGTCCCTCGCTAGAACTAAAACCGAGGCTTTCCCATCAAACCTACAGATACGACGGAGCAGAAATGGATCTCTGCCGACGACGCCCTTTCATCGCAGCGTTGGCAGACAGCCATTGTTGTCCATTCTTCCCCGGAGACCTTTGAGGGCGAATTAGTTTCGGTCTTGGACATTGCAATTGATGACTACGTCCGTACAGACCCGCCGGTGCGCCCTGGTACCTTGGGGTGCGTTCTTGGTTATATGGCCCCCTCGATCCCGATCCGCAAGATGCGCGGCTCAGCGACCTTGGCGATCTTGGCCCGGCAAGCCCTTTGGCCAACTTCCCGTTCTACGATGCCGAGTGGAAATCGGCGCTCGGCAGCATGATCCGGGCCGTTCACGCCCCGCATGTAGGCGTTATAAACGGACTGCAAGTCGTCATGCCGATACTCCCGGATGGTAGGTTGAAGATCTAGATTGGAGTTGAAAAAGACTGTCTAGACGAGTTGCTACATGAGCCACTGTTGATCAGCGCTTCACTCAAAGCAACCCCATCAACCAACTTCATCAACCAACCTGTCAACTTTGCGAATAGCTTCACATCAACCAACCCAACTTCAAGGCCAAAGTTGCATTAGTTGATTGATTCATGTGGAGTCAGATTATCTATATATTCCTCTGCTGTATATTTTTTCCAAAGCTAAATATCCACACTATATCCCTACCTGTAATACTACTCTTAGTGTTTATGTAGATATATAGTGGATGCCCTGCCTTGAGTCATGACCCCTTATACTTGCCCTCCCCCCTATCCCTTAATTTTCCCCCTTCTTTATCCCTCTTGATTTTACTTTCTTAAAGCTATATAGATAGTTAGATAAAGTAAATACTATAAGGATAATAGATGCCTTTATATACTATAGGAATAGCATTATATAGATAATAGGTGTTCAACCAAAAACAACCAATTCAACCAACTATCACAGAAAAATGGCATTCAACCAACCAACTTCAGGGCCAAAGTTGGGTTGGTTGCTCTGAATGAAGCGCTGCTGTGGATGAGGTTTGTTGACGCAAGATAGGTTACTGTAGTCTTCGGATGATGACCTTCGATCTCGTGCGCACCGTTCTTAGTCCAAAAACATACCATTGTTTTCGTCTAAAAAGACAGTATAGTAGATATGTACGAAGCTTGGATTCTTGGTCATAATTGTATTGATTCCAGTGTACTATCATGATCTTCTTCCAAGACTACTTGGTGGGAGTACCAGGAACCGAGCAATGTGCAGCACAACCATGATACCAATTGCCTAAAATAAGTTGTGGCGGAAAGAAGTATACAGTGTCATGAGATAAGCTGTAATAGCGCGCTGGCTAACATTAAGGAGCCGCTTTCTTGCCCACATTTCATACATACAAATATCTGGCTGAAGTCCATTTACCACATTTCACGACGAATAATTAGCACACGTTCAATCAAAGTTGAAGCTTTGAAATACTTCATCCGAACGAAACAATCAGTAATGATTCCGACAGGCCACACATTAATAACACTTTTGTTATCTCAGGGTTTATATACCACCTATTCATCTGAAACAAGGTGCCGGACCTCAGATTACGCCGAACCCACAGGTCACGAGACGGGCGATATGAACAATGTAAGTTTGACTCCACCCGAATCTGATATTGGCTCCGCGCCAAGTAAATAAACGCGGGCAGTGAACTCAAAAGCCTAAGGGCAATACGAAATATCATGGCCGACCCTTGTCTGGACAACGCCCATACAGCGCCATTTCTGGCCAGTGTTTCTCATCGGCCCTATATCAGTCAGGACATCTGGATTGTTCTGGAACCGATGAATCTGTTCATTGAACATTCCTTTTCCTGATAGCTAAACCATTAGCCTGTTCTCGTCCTGCGAAGTCGCTGGTCTCTGCTATGGCATTCTACGTCCTTGCAGCCGCTCTTCTGTTTACCGAGCTGGGTTGCGGCCATCACCTGCCTAGACGTCATGTCCACACGCACTCTTGGAACGGCACCTCGCACGGCCGCGCAACGTACGGAGGAGACTCGGAGGACGTCTTCGTGCGCATATCTCACGACCGGCCCATCTTGGTTCCGACCCGTAACGATCACCCGCAGATGCCGGTCGGCGTCGTGAATGACGACGACCCCATCCAGACCAACAAGTTCTACGCCAACTTCTTCGCCGGCAATCAGGACAACGCCACCTGGACGCACCCGTACTCGGTCTGGTGGTCCAATGACACGGTCAAGCACGGCCACGGGCTGTCCGTTTCCCACACGGACCGCAGCGATTTCGTGTACGGTCCAGGGACCCCCGCAAAGTCGTTCGAAGAGCCCTTCTTCCAGCAGTCGATCGCCCTCTCTGCGCAGGAGCTCCAGAACGGCACGGTTTTGACGACGGACAAGTTGACGGCTTTCTCCGTCAACGTCAACCTCGCGCCTGCGAAGAGCGCGAAGCCGGTTATCTCGTTTCCCCTCGTCCAGGGGATGGCGTTCGTCACGGGCGTTTACAGCCACGCCACCGTTCTCATCCAGTCTCAGAAGCAGTTTTCAAATATCACCGGCCTTCGGCTGGGTTCCAACGGAACGAGTACCGCCGTTTATGGCTGGAGTGCTCGGCTGAATGATGGGTCGACCTGGATGATTTATCTCAGCCCGCGTGAACCCTCGCAAAGACCAACTCTCAAACTAGTGGACAAGAGAAGACTTCTAGGTCCTTCAGGTTTCAATGGAACTGTTCAAGTCGCCAAGAACCCCCAAGGGGCAGCGGGTGTCGAGATCTTCAACAAGGCGGCCGGAGCGTACCCTGCGGGTGCCGCCATCTCCGGGTTCGTTTCGGGGAAAAGGGGAACATACAGGCTGACCTGGGAGAAGAGGGGCGTCACGCAAAACCCCCTGCTAATGTTTGCTTTGCCTCACCACGTCCAGTCCTTTGACGACAAGACCGCCAAGGGTATCACGAACGTCACCTTGGCCAGCACCACCAAGGGGATAGCGACCGCCACGTTTGCCGATGCCTTCACCATGGTCGAAGACGACCTTCCGATCGACATCGGCTTCGATCCATGGTCGCCTCGTCTGGGCTCCGTCGGGTCCAAAAACGCATCGGGCGGCACGATTTCGGACGAGGCCAAAGCCTCCGTTGTCGAGGCCGCAAAGATTGAGCTCGCTCGCGACATCACTCAACTCACCAACTTGACTTCAAAATACTACGGCGGGATCGCCTTCTCCGTATACGCAAGGGCGCTCTACGCCGTCCATGAAATAGCTGGGGATACATCGTTCAAGGATGACGCGCTGTGCAAGCTCGAAGCCGCATTTGACCGCTACATCAACAACCTAGAGCCGAACCCCCTAGTCTACGACGACGTCTGGAAGGGCCTCGTCTCCTCCGGGTCGTACGGCAACAACGACTCGTCGATCGACTTCGGCAACACATACTACAACGACCATCACTTCCACTACGGCTACTATGTCTACACCGCCGCCGTGATCGCGCACATGGACCCGTCCTGGCTGACGAGGAGCGACGGCCTCAACAAGCTTTGGGTGGACAACCTGATTCGCGACTGGTCCAACCCCTCGGCAGAGGACCCCTTCTTCCCCTTCTCCCGCGCCTTCGACTGGTTCCACGGCCACAGTTGGGCCCGCGGCGTGATCGAGGCGCCCGACGGCAAGGACCAGGAGTCGACCAGCGAGGACGCCTTTTCGACGTACGCCATCAAGATGTGGGGCCGCGCCACCGGTGACGCCCGCACCGAGGCCCGCGCTAACCTCCAGCTGGCCGTCGCCGCCCGTAGCCTGCGGTCGTACTTCCTCATGGCCGGCGACAACGACGTGCAGCCGCTCGCCTTCGTGGGTAACCGCGTGGCCGGCATCCTCTGGGACCGGAAGGCCAACCACACCACCTACTTCGGCGATCAGATTGCCTACATCCAGGGCATCCACATGCTGCCGATCGTGCCCAGCAGCGCTTACATCCGCCCGGCTTCATTTGTGCGGGATGAGTGGGATCAGTACTTCGCCGGCAACAAAAGCGGCTCCCTGACATCGGGAGGCTTTGCCGGGCACGTTTATGCCAACCTCGCTATCGCGGATGAGCTTGGGGCGGCGGAGAGTTACCGGTTCATGACGAGTCTGACGCCGAACAGCTCTTACCTTAACGGGGTTAGCCTGGCATGGGACATCGCATACACGGCCGCCTTGGGCGGGAGCTTGTGCCCAAATTCTATTACCGCCAACTCAACAATCGGGACATGAGTCTGTAGTTTGGGGTTTCTTGGAAGCATCTCTGGGTTCGAGTCGTTAGAGCTAGCTAGTTCAACAGTTCAATCCACTTATATGGGATCAGTCATGGCGGGCAGGCGATATTCTATGTCCCAGTGGTCGTCTCTCTCTCGGGAAATCGATCGGTTCCAACATGTTTGGTCAGCTTGGAAGATAGCATCTCCCGCTTTTGCGAACTGATGATTGAATTGCGTTTATTCGTGAAATACAACTCAATTGGACCTGCCAGTCAGTTCTCACAGCCTTCTAGAAGGCGAATACTAGGTAAGAAGGAAGGCTCTCCCCCTTTCATCAACGCTTGACCGCTCCTACTTCCACACAGACGCCTCAATCGATCTCGACGGGCTTCGGGTTGACGTAGAATCCGGGCGCCTGATGGTTCGATTTGATGGGCGACTGTACTGTCGAGATGGGCGAGACGGGCGAGAACGCCATCCCGTGGAAATATGCAGGGGGCTGCGTCATCGTCGACTCCCGCGCCTCCGCCAAAGTCCTCTGGTTCGTCTTCAGGTACCGATACAGCATCGTCGCGCAGACGATGCAGGTGATGCCGAATATGCCGACGCCGACGCCGATCCCAGCCCTCGCCCCCACCGGTAAGCCGGCGGATGATCCGCCACTGTCGGCCCGGTCGGTCTGGGGTGCTTGGTCGTTTCCAGTCGACGCCGGTCCTCGTTCATCTGTGGTCCGCGTAAGACCTGGTTCTTCTGACGTCCCTACAGGCATCGTGGTCAGAGTAATCAAGGGATCGGTCGGAGAAGCGGCCTCTGATTGCCCAGGAGATAGCGGCAAAAGGCTCATCGAGGTCTCTGCCGGAGGGTTACTCGAGGGACCAGCCGGCGCGGTTCTTGACAGGACCACAGTTTTGGTCGGCTCCGGCCAGATCGTCGATGGTCTGCAAGGAACCGGCCGGCTCCCCGGATCCCCGTCGGAGATGGTGAAGGTAGCCGAGGAGATGTGGCGCAGGGTCTGGTTCCCCTGGTTGCCGTCGGTGCCCTCGAACAGCCAAAAGTAAGCGACATTAGAGAGGGACAGATCCAACCCGTAAGCCTGGACCTCCCAGTCGAACTCCCTAACCCACCCCTTGGCATCGACTACACTCACCCCTCGAGGTCAGTCTCCAGACCGAGGCGGGGTACTGAACGTGGAATCGTCTGTTACTTACGTATACGAAAGGCGATGTCTCCCAGCACCGCGGATGGCGGGGCCTGTTGCCATAGCCCGATCGTGTAATGCCTCAGCGTCGTGTTGAACACAATCTTCTTCTTGTCTCCGATCCTCCACGTGTCTCCGTTCAGGTCCGGGTAGATGAACTGTCCCAGCACCGGGTTGAGGGTCTGTCCCAGCACTGAGGCGACCAGAGCAAATAGAAGCAGCGTCAGGGAGCGCATATTCAAAAAAAGGCTCTCTCTTTTTCGTTTCTGTACAAGAACCAGAGTGGAGTGGTCGCTAATCGTGGCATGTCTGCTCTTATGATACCTGTTTGCCTTTTCATTTTTGACCGCCTTTCCTGAGGTTGTAACCTAGGTAGCCAATTGCCTGACCCCGTGGTCGTGTGACTTGTTTGTGCCCCCCTTTCTTTGTTTCGCCCAGCACAATCGTGGCCGGCAAACATGATGTTTGCGGCAATCTTCGAGCCGTATATTGCTGTGACGAGTCTCGATGGAAACATAATCATGACTGCCTATCTGCGACGTTGGAGGAAACGACACCTTCGCTGGTTTATCTATAAACTAGGTACATGGGCACACGCCAATATGTAGAGAAATAGCATGGACAAACTGGATGAGCTCGTCGTCCTTGCCTCAATATGAAATGCTTACAAAGGCAAGGAATTGGTGTGGCACTCATACCTTTGCAGATGGATATTACATTCGTGACTTCCTTGGGCCGCCTGTGCCCTATTCTTTCCTAGTCTGAACTTTGTGACGGTAGTGGAAGGAAGACTGCTGGAACAAGCAGGATAAGGATAGCTATAACAAGCTTTCAAAAGAGCACCTAGCAGTACCACTGAAAGACCAGAGCTAGAGGTTTTGGCACAAGCAAATGCAATGCCTGCGTAATGATTTTCAAAGGGACTGTTTTCTATTGGTCAAGGCACCCACCAAGTAAGGTGGTCAGGTGAAGAACAGGGCGGAGAAGCCTTCACGTGTTAAGCCAAAAAGGATCCTGTAGGGCTAGCCAGGTTGCAGATGAAGAAAGACAAAAAAGAAAGCTCTGTAGCGCTATAAAACCAACCTTCAAGCTATTTTCTTCTTCTTCAGTTTAATTGATATACACAGGCAGAGACAACGGCTAAACAGTGACGCGAATACGCACAGTGTTCCATACCAAACAAAACTAGGCAACAACAACCAGGCAATAACAAGATGCAAGAAACCAGAAGAGGCAGGAACGAAGGAGAGCGACCAGGCCTCCATACCCGGTCGATTAAATACTTTCTTCTTGGCGCAAGGCAACTTCTCTCTTCCTGCTTCGCACTAACACATCCCAACCGAGCAACGGTCACGATGGACGAAACGCCTGTTGACACCCAACATTACGCCAGTGAGGCAATTCGCCTTCTCTACCTTCACTTCTCCCCCGAGATGTTTGAGAAGGTGAAGAGGTCGACCGACGGCTTCAAGTGGGCTATGATGCCAATCGAACTCATCGATATTGCTCACTCACGTGCCTTTGACGTCTTATCCAGAGACGTCTTCTACCAGCCAGTTTTCAGCATCGATGATTTCATCAATGCAATCACGCCTATTTTTTGCCCGTCTGTCCTCACTAAAATCCGCTTCAACTTGGCTCGCTTCGATGCCGTTGCCGGCGTTGAGTGCACCGAGGTATTCCTAGGCCAGCAGACGATCTGTGATTGGATTATGCACATCATCGCCGAGTTTCTCAAACCCCTGCACGCCTTACGACTTGGTCAGCTCACATCAGCGTCTTGGGGAACTTCTTCGTCTGCCACAACCTCCGAATCTCTCAAGAAGGGCCCCTTGGTAAGTTTGCATCTTTTGCCTTTCCCACTCTGTCTGTCACTTCGTCTCTCACTTCGTCTGTCACTTCGTCTCTCACTTCGTCTCTCACTTCGTCTGTCACTTCGTCTGTCACTTCGTCTCTCACTTCGTCTCTCACTTCGTCTCTCACTTCGTCTCTCACTTCGTCTCTCACTTCGTCTCTCACTTCGTCTCTCACTTCGTCTCTCACTTCGTCTCTCACTTCGTCTCTCACTTCGTCTCTCACTTCGTCTCTCACTTCGTCTCTCACTTCGTCTCTCACTTCGTCTCTCACTTCGTCTCTCACTTCGTCTCTCACTTCGTCTCTCACTTCGTCTCTCACTTCGTCTCTCACTTCGTCTCTCACTTCGTCTCTCAATTCGTCTCTCAATTCGTCTCAAGTTTCATGCGTTTTGCCCGATGTTCATACCTTGACCTCGAATAGCTACTGACTTACTCTCTACAGACTATCACCCAGCTTGGTGGCTCCTCGGACATGTTCGATGTCCCCACCGACCGAACCGTGCAACAGGTCATCCTCCGCGGTCATACAGTTCTTGAAGCATGGACGAAGAATGAGACAACTCGCCAACTCAGCATGATGAGAAAGGGTCAAGAACGCCTGCGCCATGACCCTGAAAACCTTGATCCGACCTGGACACCTCGACACGCTGGTAGTAACCCCGTGTACCACGGCTCGATTATCCGTGACGATGAATGGCCTCGACTTTTCAACGAAACCCCGTTCGACGCTCTTAGTCCCAGAATTAACTCCAATCAGATGGTGACTGATGCATTTCCTGTCATCTTCACGGCGTTTAGTCCCCTGCGAGCCTTTCTTTGGGCAGCTTTTCAAAAAGGATTGCCCCGCATGGCGCCCAATACCCAGGACATATTGTGCACCCATAACACCTGGGTTAGTGGTGGAAGAGCCTACCAGGGCGTTGTCCTATTCAAATTTCACTCGACGCAGCCTTCTCCAGCTAGCCTCACTCACTACGTCATCCCTGAGGGCAAAGAAAACGAGTGGGGGAGCAAATCTCTACATGGCAACAACAAGGCTATCAACGAGCGACGAGTCTGGGATTATTATCGCACTATCCATGGTCAGAGTGGCGACGTTTTCCCAGATCTCGTTCATGGTCTAGAGTATGGCCAGCAGCTGACTGCGCTCACGCCTTTCAGTACCAATATGTGGCGCACTATCTGGAGGGCTGGTGCAGCCTCAAACCATCTCAACGCTCAACATGCTGCAACTTATGCCATCAGCTTTGAGATCGGCTCTGCTGCTGAGCCTCCTCCACCACCACCAGCCAAGACTATGGAAAAACCGGGTGACGGGGGAAACAAAGACCAAGACAAGGGCGGGGGTAAGGGGGGGTTAAGCCATCACTGGGACGCCGGCTGAAGAATAAGACCTCCACCTTCTTAAGGTCCATGTCAGACCGTTCCTCGTCGGGATACTAGAGCCTGGCATCTATATCGAGGTTTGGCAGAACAGACATAGGAGCTCTGCCCAGAAGCCGCCGCCGCTGTCGTCCTCGCCGCCGCCATCACCACTACCACCACCACCCCGCATCGCCGCCACCATCATGTTGGAGAAGGAGATGGACGCCTAGATGGCAGCACTCTCACCCACCATGATTGGGCCTCTGGCTGGCTCGGGCGCCGAGCTCAAGATGCCTCTCTGTTCGGGAGACGGGCGGGTCCTCACCTGGGACAAGATGTGCGCCGAGGTAAGACTCAGCACACATCCTAACCCAGGCAAAACCCATCATCTTGAGAGACGGGACACGCAATTCTAATGCTCCTGTAGTTCGTACAGAAGATTGTCCTTGCCGTCCCCGACTCGCCGCCCGCGTCCACCAACGACTGTTGGTTTTTCCCCGGCGCCGCCTCCAACAACACCGGATACGCCTCGCTTGGCCAGAAGCATTCTAGCGCGTCATTTTGTTAGATCGAGAGGCACGTCGCCATGGGAGAGGAAAAAATGATTCAGTCACCATCCATGGCTAATGCATCGTGCTGGAAAGTGAGAATTAAGATGAGAGGAAGGATGAAAGGGGCAATAGCAATAGAGCCTTTAATCTCTAACAGAAGCGATGAGAGTCGAGGCAAAATACGTGAAAGTCAAGGTGAAAGTTGTAGATAAAAAATAAGCGCCCAAAACCTCGCAGGGGAATTCGTCAAGGTCGGTTTTGATGACAGCCGAGCATCTGCTGCTGGGGCCTGCGCGGAGCTAAGGAGGTTTACATCGCGGTCAAACAAGCCAAGCCAGGTGATAAGTTATTGAATAAACAATGATATCTTGAGGCCATGCAAAGGGGGGGAGATCCTCTATCCAAACACTGCATCATTATATGACGCGACCAAGGTATCCATATCTCAAAGACGCCACAGGCTTGCCTCCAAAAAAAGGCTTTAACAAGAACAGAACATCAACGCCGACAGGACGTGCAGGCCTTCTAGTCCGCCTTTCTCTCCAAGTCGTTGGCGAGGTTCATGTGCATCAGAGCCTGAGCTGTCCAGTCCTCGTCAGACTGCCCGCCTCCTTGTTGGCCGCTATTCCACGTATCTCTGTTCTCTCGGCCATCGATCCCAGGAAGGTTGATGTGCGGCGTCGATTGTCCCGCGCCGGGCTTCGCGCCCACAGGCGGCGGGCCGTCGTCGCCTCCGAATCGGTCGAAATCTGGCAGGACGTACCCATGACCTGCAGGCGCGTTGGCCTGCCCCTGCTGCGCGTAAGACGGTCCCTCATCACCGGGCATCTCCGCAATGCCGTCGTGGCCTTGCTGTGGAAGTGAAGCCATCTGCCCGACCTGCTGTTGAAACTCTTCCTGCTCCAGAATCTGCGGTGCGTGTTCAACGTTCCGCAGACTTGAAGAGCCATGGGCCTGGCCGCTCGCGCTTCTTTGACTGCCTATGGAAGTTCGGTGAAGATCGGGTCCGTCCGCGGTGCTAGGCTCGCCTCCCATGATGCTGGCCGGGTCCATATCTCTGATGGCGAATTGTGCAAGGGTTCGCATCTTGCGCGTGACCCATCCAGCCAAGATCTTTCCGCGCTGTTTCTCGCCGAGGCGGGACCGGGGGAAGTCGCCCTTGTTAACAAACGCCACGATGTCGACAATGATCTGATGTTCGTTGAGAATTGCGTCGACGATGACCGGTACGACGGAGCCGAGGTAGGCCTTGCGAGTGATCTCGGCTAGTACGACAACAAGGCCGCCGGCTTGAAATACGGCGCTGCGAAGCATTAGCATCGGTATTCTGCAATAGTGCGGGTGTCGACTTACCATCCACCAGTGACGATGTTTCGGTGGCACCGTTCCACAGACGCCTCGATATCCATGGGGAAGTGGCTGAGGCCATTGATCTCAAACGTTTCGCCAATGTTACCAAGGACGAACAACACCTGCATGTCGACCTGCGCGCCTCCAGGGCCAATGGGTCTGCTCACGTTGTGCAAGAAGCCTAAGTCACCTGTGCGGACATACTGAATACTAGGGTCGCCATCGACTGTACGCCCGTCGAATCGCTCAGCATCAAAGACGTCCTTGGAACCGTAGAAGCCCTTGACGCATGCTTCAGAGTCGACCCAGATCTCGCCATACTCTCCATCGTGGCAGAGCATTCGGCTTTCGGGGTTGACGATGGCGATCTGTGTCGAGACAGGAACCATGCCCGAATCCTGGAGCAAAAGCGCCTTGGGATCTTGCTCAGGATCGACAGGGTAAACAAGACCCCTCCGCAGTGCCTTGGTGTCTAGCCAGAGCTCAATAGGCTCGATGCACATGTAGGACCGCGAGGCGATCATTGGGTTGAGAACGTGGGAGTAAACGGTGTTGATTGCGGTCCTGTCAAGACCGGTAGCGGCGAAGTGCAGGCGGACCTTTTGGAACACGTCGACTCGTGGTCTGCTCTCGGCCGAGATCATCAGGTTCTTCAGCTCGTGGAGCGTAAAGCCCTTGCCCTGCATCATCGCCATGGCGTGATCCAGCATCTGCGGCGTCGCGTAGGTGTCCTTGATCTTGTACCTAGAAAGAGTCACGAACAGCGACATGGGATTCTGCGCAAATTCGACGGGTGAGAGGAGGTAGGTCGGGGTGCCTATGTAGATGCCCATCAGGCACGAGTGGATGAATCCCAGGCCCGTGGTACTACGCACACACCCGAGGACAGGACGGGAGCTCGTCATTTGGCAAGTTTCCTTTTGGACCTTGCACATACCCAGGATGGTGTCGTGTCCCAGCTGAACCGCAATACGGCGCTGGTCGGGAGTCCAGTATGTCCAAATAATTACAGGATAGCCTGGCTGAATCCAGGCGGGCTGCATAGTGATGCCGTTGTCTCGCAGCCCGCTGCTCTGCTTGGGCGGTTTGGTAGTGTTGTAGTAATTGGGGACGCCGATTTTGAGAATGGAGGCTGCCTGCTTGACATGGTTGGACACAAGCTTCAGCTTGACCAAGTGGTCCACCTCGTTATTGACCAGGATAGCCTTGACGCGGAAGTCGGCGACGACGTGCAGGAATGCCGGCACGTCTTCGTTGAGTCGGTTCTGGTCTAGGGGAGCCAGTGGGATAACGACCGCACCCAGGTTGATGCAGGCGTGGACGGCATATACGAACTCTTCTGAGTGCGTGTACATCAGAATCAAGTGGTCGCCGGGGCGGACCTTGACCTTGTTCTTCAGATACAGCGCCACAGCGGCGACCTTGGTGTCGAACTTCTTCCAAGTAACGCCTTTACCTTCTCTGCCACGACCATCAATCGTGCAGTAGGCCAGCTCCTCTGGCTGTCGGGCCACGCGCCATTGGATGAGATCGGTGATGCACGAGAAGTTGTTGAGCGGGGTGGAGGTGCGGTCATCGATGACAACTTCTCTTCGGTCGATACCCGAGTACTGCTTGTCAGCCGACATGAGGATCCCCGCTCGAGAGTCGGATGAGATGGGCGACCAAATGCCTCCGATGGGGTCGACGCCGATCGGCAGGTTGAGCACCGCATGCTCTACGCCGAACTTGACGTGGACGCAAGGCAGGTTGCCCAGGTCGAATTCTCTCCTGCACAGCATGTTTCCGATGTCCCGGCGTCCGTTCTTTACTACCCTGGGAAGGGAGTTTGGCGCGGTGATCATGACGCAGTACAGTCTCAAATGGTGTTCCTGCATCAAGACGTCCATACACCTTTCGGCAAGCGAATCGAGCAGTGCCGTATCGAGTTGCCTCGGTGGTCCACCAGACGTCAGAGGCGCTGTCGAGGCGGCTGGTGATTCCAAGACCACTATGGGGAGGTGCTCCTCGTTGACAAATACGTCAAAGGCAGAGCAGTCGTAGATCTTGGGCACATTCTTTACAATGCTGACAACGAGGTGCTGAACGAAGAAGTAGCGATGCTCCGCGACCTCGGTGCCGTGCTCGACCCATTCGACTTTCTGGCGAATACGATCCTCGTACAAGCCCAGCACGAAAACCTTTCCCTCGATGACTGTACCGAGCAAGCCGGTTCTCAAGAATTCGGGCTCGACGAGGGTTGGCGTCGGCTCGCCAGGGTCAAACTTGTAGGGGCGGGCGTGGAAAATCTGCTCCGTGTGTTTGGGCAAAGCCCAGAAGCCTCCAGAGAGCGAAGGCGAGTCCACCCAGATTTCTCCGATCGAGTGCGGTGACGCCAACAGACCGGTTTCCGGGTCGACGACTGCGAGGGTGGCATCGGGGATCGGGTATCCAAAGGCGCCCACGCGGACAGTGCCTTGTTCGCTGGAAGCACGTTTCCGCGCCTCGTCTCCGATCGCAACCACGACAACTTCGTTTGTCTTCAGAGCCTCTCTGTCAAGGAGCACCTCGCTGAGCTCGTTCTTAGCGCGCTCCTCGGTGGTGGTGGTGGCACCGCCTCCCAGGAGACTGCCAAAGCCATTAGAGGGTGCCAGCTTCACCTCTTCCTTCTCTTCTACGTCGGACTCAATGTCGGACCCCATATCGAGCTTCAGCGGGCATCCCATGCGCTCCTCTCCTCCTAGCCAATCGCGGATGCTGATGACCATTCCTCCGTGCTCGGGGAGACAAAGCATGGGCGCGACAACCTCGCGGGCGCGGGGATTCCGGAGTGGCCTCAGCCATCTGTCTGCCAAAACTTCGTGGAACTCGCCGTCCACCGTCAGCGTGTCTATGAGGCAGAGTTTGACGGTCTGAAAGTTGGGCTCCATGCCCTTTTTGAAATTCCGTGTCGTCATGGGGTCTGACTGGTAGTTGTATGCCGCGCGCTTCAAACCGGGGTAGTCTGCGATCATGAGAGTGGCCTTGTACTTGGTGATGAGGTGGGCGTAGAGACCGGGTACTTCAACGGCCTTGTTTTCAACCCAAACGGTCGTGTGACCGCCGTACACTGTGAGAAGAACACCCAGAATCATGCCGATGCCCTGTCGCGGGTCGAGATATGAGAGAAGCGTTTCGCTCGTTGAACCTGCCCCGATGAGCCGGCCGTTCTTGTCTCGGAGAGTGCGGCTGAAGGTATCACCAGGACCGTTTCCTGGCACCGTGGAAACGATGGCACTGAGACAAGCCATCTGATGCATGACTGTCCGGTGGCTCAGGACAACGCCTCGCAAATCACCCGTAGGAGCCCTCGAGAACTCGATGTAGGCCAAGTCGGGAACCGTCAATGGCGGCACATCGTCCTTGCGCTTGGGGTGGAAGCTGCCGAACTCGTTCGTCTTCCACCATTCGACACCCTTGGGCCAGTTCAGCTTCTGCGTCGTTATGTCACGCTGGAAAGCCTTGAGGTTGTTGTCGGTCGTGAGCGCCAAATGGGCCTGCGTCGATGTGAGGATCAGATTCAGCTTCTGGTAGTCCTGCAGGTCGTTGATCGGCACGGCAACGACGCCAGCAATGAAGCATCCGAGAAGGGCAATAACGAAATCGATGACCTCGGTGTCGCGGTAGATGAGGGCAACGCGATCGCCGCGATACAGCGAGCTCTTGTCCCTAATCACCTGTGCCACTTTTTCGGCCCTCGACGCTAGCTTGTCCCACGTGATGGAGGCAATTTCCTTGCCTTTGTTGTCGAGGACCCAGTATGCGGGAAGCTTGGCCATTGTCCTTCCCCTATGCCTCAGAACTGCGGCCATGTTGTCGAACTTGGACATGGGAGTATTGCTATCGTGCGGGTCGGATATCGCGAACGGGAGATCGCGCGGTTCCAGAGGCATCATGTACTCGAGCACTTCCGGAGGGGGCAGGTCGTTGGCAGTGAGCATGGGCGGCGCCATGGCAGCCGTGGGCGAGAAGGCCTCGCCCGACGAGTATCTGTGTGCTCCGCCATACTCTTCCTGCTGTCCTTGTTCGTAACCCTGCTGGTCGTAGTTTTGTCCCTGCTCGAAGTTCTGTCCTTGCTCGAAGTTCTGTCCTTGCTCGAAGTTCTGCCCACCGGTGAATCCCGAGAAGTACCCTGTTGAGTCAAGCATCGTGCCTGTCCGACTGTCGTACGGGTTTTGAGCATGGTCCACGTAGTGTCCTTGCTGGTCGGGGTTGAAGGCGTAGTCTGTCGAGAGCATAGTGCCAGATCGTGTCGGCGGTTCGTTGTTCGTGCCTAAGAAGAGCGAGTTATGCTGCTTCATGGTCGGCCGTTGTTCGGCGACAGGACCGCCAGGTCGAAGGAGACCGGCGGGGTTAATCTCGGGGGAAGTATAGCCAGGGCCAGGGGATTGATATCCGGGAGACGCGTAGCCGCCGGAGCCGTGGCCGGAGCCGTGGGGGGCAAAGGGCGACTGTGGACGGTGCGAGCTCGGCGATGTCGGGCTGCTGGGATCGGAGTCTCTACCGCCCAGGGCGGCGAGAGCGGCTGCGCGGTGGCCATCGCTCGAAGGGTGTCCGGAGTTGTCGGGAGAGTGTATGCCCAGGCCGCCTCTGGCTTGGTTGGCGACGGAGGCGCCCAATGAGCCAGGGCCCATGAACTGGGAGAGGAGCTGCGTTCGTCGCTTCTGGAATCTGCGGAGAGAGAGGAGGAGATCGTTAGCCGTTGTCGCAGGCAAGGCAAGCAGTCGGACAATACGGGAGAGGGGAGGGGGGCGGGGGGGTTTCGCGGAGGAGGGGTCGGCACCCACCCTTTCTCTGTGATGTCGCCTTCCTACAGGCACGAGAATGCGTCAGTCCACGAATGATGCGACGGTAAACGGTAAGCAAAAAGAGAGGTGCACTGCAGGCAAGTGCTCGGACACGATGTGGACGGGCGCATCCGCGCAAGGTCTTTTGCGGGATGTCGGACGAGTGCGCGGCGGCGGCAGCGGGGAGGGAGATGGTAATAACTCACCTCGAGCTCCTTCTCAAGCTCTTGCAGCTTGTCCTGCAGTTCGGGGGTCAGTTGTGCTGCCATGGTGGTAAATGTGGTCGTGAGAACGCGCAACAGCTGCGCGGGATGCAATGCGGCAACGAGCAAGCACAACAAGTGGAAATGGTTAGAAAAGGTCTGGAATGGCCCGAGACCCCGGGGTTAAGGGGAATGGGAATGTGGAGAGGGCCGGGAATCGCCCAGACTTAAAAGGAGGGACGATCGCACAACGTGTTGATGTCGAGTTTCGGGTCCCCTCGTGTTCTGGATAGGTGTGGTATGGTAGTAGGTTTGGTGGGTGGTATCAGGGTCGGCGTTGGTGTCGATGGTGGTGGTGGTGCCTCGTCCTGGATCTCTCCGCTCAGCTCAATCTCGTGACGTAGGTTGTTGCCAGGAAAAGAAGAGGAAGGGGGACCGGTCGCTATACCCGGTTGGGCCAAGGATGATCTCGACCAGGTTAAGGTTGGCCCAAGTCACTCGCGAGCTTGGTTTTGGGGGGTGAGCGGGCGGCTGGGTTGGAAGAAAAAGAGAAGAGAGGCAAGGAAGAGGATGACAACGCAGGGCTCGGGCACTGTAACACAGGGCATCCAGTGGTGCGATACGGTGCGGTTGATGGCGTCCCCAGTGAGGTGGTAGAGGCGGAAGCTGGTGGTGAGTGATCTGGCTGAGAATGGCGTCTGCTGCACACAACGAGGGGTAAGATACATTAGTGCTTAGGTAGGTAGGTAGGTTTGGTCCCCAGTCAAGCAAGGCACGGAGAGTGGGTGAGTGGCCAAGACATGGATGGCCGTTTCCTTCCTTTTCTTTTTCTCTGCATTTACTAGCGCAAATTATCTAGCCACCTGTGTAGGTACCTACCGGCACCTTGCACCGAAGCAGCAGCCGTAATGAACGGCAACGGCCAATATCTCGTGTGGGTTAAGGAAGATGTTTGATAACGGACGCGCTGGACCATTCCCGGGACATCCATCCCACCCGTGTAAACAGTCTGCAACGATATATCACCTACCCAAGTACTCCGTACCTACCTCAGGCGCTAACGACTAGCCTAGTTGAGGGCCAGTCCAGTGTACGTAACATGGTGGGGCAGGCAGGTCTAACAAGCATCCATTGCGCGCGCTCGTCATTCGGCTTTCTTCCATTGCCGCGCAGGCTGGCGACGACAGCGGATGTCACCTCCCCCGTTAGCGTTGAGATCCCGGATGGTAGGACCCAGACAAACTTCCAGGTACCCGCGAGGTAAATCAAGACGAGATGTGTCCAGACTCGAGACGATGCTAACCCACGGACACCCGGCAGGAGGAGGAGGAGGATGGAGAGTGAGAGAAATACTCTAGGTTTACTACCTAGGTATGCAGTATGAGACGGCAGTCGATAAAACACCGTAATCGTCATCGACCACCAGGTACTGGCCAAGAAAGGTCGACAGAGGGGATGCCCAAACAAGTAAACACGAGCAGGCCTGGCCTCTTTCTGTCTCTCCCCCTCATCTACCGGTACCTGGACCACCCCGAGGTCAGTTCCTACAAACCCCCCCCCCGGCGCCAATTGCGTAGTGATTCCCGGGGTTTGCACTCAGCACGTCGCCAAGGCCAGACTCTCTCCCCTCGACGGCTGTGGTCCGTTCCGTGGAACGGTACAGCCCGACTCGACACGACAAGAGCAGCAAGCGGCTCGCGAGTGGGATGGGGCATGGGAGCAGAGTATCCGTACCGTAGAATACCTACCCATGGTAGAGGGCCCCGGGGAGAGGAGAGACTAAGGTCAGTTATTTCCGTCGGGCTGCATGGGGGAACCACCGGGAATGGAATTCTCCAGCAAGCAATCCACCCCAATTGCCCACCAAGAAATGTCTTAAGACACGGCCAAAAAGAAAAAAGAAAAAAAAAAAGAAAAGGAAACCCAACAACTCGCTCTTTCCAATCCTCCAGAATCGCCCGCGGTTACATCATTGGCTCGGTTAACTGACCCGATCAGGTCTAAAGAGGGGGTGGGGTCTGTCCATGAACGGAATAGCGCCCGAAGACGAGCGACAAGGAATGGGGTCCTAAACGGCTTTTTACTGCACAGACCATGAGGACAGGGCTGTGGGGCTCATTAGGTACCGGTATTCGTGGCCGACCTTTTTCAGTACGCGCTAGAAACGAAACCCCACTCAAAATCTTCTTAATCGGAATATTTTCTTCGCACTCCTTCCTACGACGTCAACAAACTTCCTCTTCCCATCAAGATTCCTCCCCAGAGCCTTTTGCAACCATCTTCAAATAAGATGGAAGGCAGGCCAGTCAGCAATGCTCTCTCTCTCTCCCGGCGCCCGCGGCATGTACTTGATCGTCGATGCCGGACAAAGCAGCGTTAGTTACTTTGTCCGGTTTTGGGTTTTTTTTTTCTCAGCCTCAACCGTTGAAAACAACGTCTCCAAACACGAGGCTGTGGTCGAGCGGGCTTTGAAGGGACACAGACATGTCTTTGTGCTTCGCCTCCATCATCAACAGGCGCTGCGGAAGGACCCGAGCCTCGATGATTCCCGGCTTCCTATTTTCGACCATTGACTCTGAAACGGAAGGTACTTTTGTTTGACGCCGCAAAAAGGGGAGGAGGGGGAACCCCCGCAAGACTGACTGACATCAAGTGTTGTCGGAACCACCTCGGAATCGGCGTCGGTGGTCGCGAGATTCGTCCATCTCGAGGACAGACTTTGGCTATCGCTGCGGCGACCAGTGGAACTAACCTCAAAACAGGACAAATGCCACCACTCCTGGAAAATCGCCTCAGAAATGGTAAGTCGGAGATCCTTCTTTCTCTAGCCCATCTCACCTCTATACTTCTCAAATGATGAGACAATCAACTTAAACACAGACCTGTTCGGAACAAATTTTGTCGAGAAACGTGCATTATTCTCCTGATAGAAGACACCTCTCTACCCACACTTTTTCTTCAGCATCTGGACAACTCACATGCAGTCGCTGACGAAATACCAGAGACACGGCGAACAAACAACATGGTGATCGAACAGGGGAGGAAGCTTCGTCGAGGCACGTCTTTCGAGGCGAGTCCTACGGGCCAATTGCCCTGAGACGAGACGCAAAGTGGCCTTTCCCACCACCACAGCCTCACCAACCAAGTTCCTCCTTTACCAGCGTTTTCTTGTCCGTTCTGCAGCGCGCGTTTGTCCAACTCTACCTAGAAATAGCAGTCCGTAAAACAGCCTTTGTGTTCAGGCAAATTCATCCTTTCCTGTCACTTGAACATTGTGTCCCGTTCGCTCTCCGTTGTCCTGGTACTCGACGCCCTTTATCCCGATTATTCACTGAAGGAAAGATGTTAGCATTTAACCCAGCCATCGCCCCCGCGTCGTTTTCTGCCATTGGGAAGACTCCAAGAAATTCGATTCAATACCAGTATATACTCATATCCCTCACAACCGGTAAGAGAACGCTCAACACGTGTTTTCTAGACTTATTTCGCTTTCTACTTTTCCGTTTTTCTTTTCTTCACGGTCATATCAGGTGTCCGGCACACCAGGAAGCAGACCCTCTTCAAAAGCCCCCTCGCGTGACATGAGAATCACGATGATGAGCCCCGTAGCCGACACCTTCGATTCAAGCTTCGAGGTATACTCCGATGCCCCATCGTTTGACGTCTTCGCAGACCCCGATACGCTTTTCGACCCAAACTCTTACTTCGATTTTGATGCCTGCGCCGGAGGGCCGGACCCCGACGACGCAGCGTCAACGCCGCTGGCTACCGAGACTAACACCGCGGAAGACGGCCTACAAGCCGCCGCCGGCTGGCCCCCCGTATCCGAGTCCGCATCCCTCTCCGTAGAGAACCAAGACTCAACCAGCCCTCCGACTTCCACAGTGAATCCCGGCCAGCTCATGCTCACCATTCCCAGTAAGCCATCAGAGAGGCAACTGCAGAAGCGGCAGAGCCCTCCCACCGGCGCGTGCGGCTCCTCCCCTCTCGTGCTGCCGAGTATCGAACCTGTAAATTTCGAAGACGACGTCGGCACTCTCCTCGCCGATCTGTCCTGCTCCGTGCCCGACGCCTTCCGACTCCCGACTGCGGCCTCGACGCCCGGCCAAGATTGCGACTCGCTCGCCTTTCCTGCCGACTTGTGGCCCGTGGGCGCGGTCGACACATCATTCGCAAGGGACACAGTGGTCGAAGCGGCGGGGCCGGGCCTTTTCGCTCCCGAGCTTCAAATCGACGGCATCTGCGGCACATTTGATGCTTTTGACCCCTTTCATTCTTTCGATGCCTCGCCCGACGTCAAGCAGGATTTTACCTTTTCGGCGGGTTACTGTTATCCGTCTCCGCCGGCTGCCGAGGTGTTTTTGCCCACCCCGCAGGGCGAGGTTCCTTTCGTATTCGACGAGAGTTCGGTAGATCTTCTTTGTTCCCTCCCTCCAGACGTGTCTCTGACTGGTCTGCAGCCCCCCCTGCCTCGTAGTGTTCCCGCCGTTGCCGCGGCCGATGCTAGCAGTACGACCGAGCTCGTGCACCCAAAGCCGAGGTCGTCCAACAACTGTGTCAGCTTCATCCAACGGCGTAGGGAGTCTTTGACGGATAGAACATTCTCCAGTATCCTCGACTACCAGGGCCTTGTCCACGCCCCTGCCGCCTCCGAGTCCTACCTAACCCCGGCACATACTCCGGTCAGAGGCCTCACCACGCCGGTCGTGGACGGCAAGGTTCTCAAGCGCATCCCTAGGCCAGCCAAGGCCAAGGACGTGGACGCTTCCGAGTGGTATGAGGCCCTCCCTGAGGCGCCGGTGGCCTGGGGAGGCCGTGACCCAAAGAACCCCATGTTCCGGTACAACAAGGAGGGTGAGCTGTTACCCAGCCTGCGGTTTTCCAGGGAGCAGATCTTTTATTACCTAAAGGAGCGCAAGGGTAGGGGTCTCCCGCTGACGCTCTGGATTCAGAACGTCCCCCACGGATGCAAGACTCGCGTCAGTGACGACAGGCTGCGCGCGTGTCGCTGGTCAGGGTGTCCGGCACACAAAGGCACCATACTAAAGGGGTTCTGGCGGGTGTGC